CAACAAAAAGAATGAACTATTGATAAATGCAACATGAATGCATCTCAAAATCATTATGGTGAGTGAAAAGAGTGCTCTGTGCATTGAGAGCAGCTCTCCTGCCACAGCCCACATTCCCTGAAAATGTACTCCATAGGAAATTCATCTCCATCCCCTCCCTGGTCAGGAGCACTTCTCAGCTACTGAACCAACCACTCTTTGCAGTAGTGTTAAAATGACCCGAGACCCTGGCAAATGAGAACCTCCAGTACTTGGCAGCCTCACGTGCCCTAACCTCACTTATCCCTAGCCATAACTTCCAAACCAGTGCCATTTCAATGGACACTGACATAGCAGCCAAGTTCACTGGGACCGCAGCTGTGACAGGAGGGGTGACAGGCTCTGGGGCTGAGATTAGAACTGTTTGGGAGCCTCATTATTGGTTTTGCCAGGAACTCTTCTCCGTAGCTACAGCTCTTCTCCTGCACCATTCTGAGCTCTGCCCTCTTAGAGGCCATGGGGCTCTTTTGCTTGATGGTAGCCTTTTCCATCCTCTTTGCCATGTTAAGAAACCCTTTCCACCTCCCATAGTTCTTTCTCCCAAGTTTCATCTGCCTGTATGTTTCTTTTCCTATGCATTCCTAGGCAGCATAAGGAAAGCCTATGGCTCAGGGTTTGACAAAACAAAAAAGAAATACTGAATCAACCCGGACGATGTGACTCAGTGGTTGAGCGTCAACCCATACACCAAGAGGTCGCAGGTTCAGTTCCTAGTCGGGACACATGCCCAGGTTGTGGGCCAAGTCCCCAGTGGGGGGCATGTAGGAGGCAACCAGTCGATGTTCTCTCTCATCGATGTTTCTGTCTCTCTCCCCCTCTCCCTTCCTCTCTCTTTAAAAATCAATAAAGAAAACAAAAAAAATAAATAAACAAATACTGAATCAATAAGAAGGGGGTGGTAATCACTTAAAAAAAATAGTTCTGCCCTGGTCAGTAGAGTAGTGGTTAGAGTGCCAGCCTGTGAACCAAGGGGCTGAGGGTTGATTCTGGGTCAAGGGCATGTACCTGGGTTGCAGGTTCGATATGCGGCCGGGGTCGGAGCTCGTGCAGGAGGCAACCAAATCAATGTGTATCTTTCTCACATCGATGTTCCTCTCTCTCCCTCCCTCCTTTCCATGCTCTCTAAAAATCAATGGAAGAAATGTCCTCGGGTGAGGATTAACAACAACAAAAGTAGTACTGTATGATTCTATTTATGTAAAACTCTAGAAACTACAAACTAATCTATAGTGACAGAACACAGATCAGTGGTTTTGGAGGGAGGCAAAAAGAGTGCAAAGGAACAGTAGGGAATTTGGGGGGGAGGATGGTGACAAATATGTTCCTATCTTGACCGTCTTAATGGTTTTATGGGTGTATTCAAATGTTACAAGTTATCAAATTGTGCACTTTAACTATGTTCAGTTTATTGTGCGTCAATTATACTTCAATAAAGCTAGTTTTTAAAAACAAATTTCTGAGTTCTACCACCAGAGCGAGCTTCTGACTGAAAAATACCCATTTCATTAAACCAACGTCAATCATTTCAATAGTTTCCTACTGAAGTCTAAAACTCTATTCACTTAATAGAAAGTATGACAATTCTGGAACATAAAGTTACTATTCTTCAAAAGCATTTCAAGCAATCTATATTAACAATGAACTCATACTGACTGCTATGAAAAAAACATGAGACAGGAAATAAGATGAAGGATCCATGAAGTTTAGCTTTCTAATGGCTAAGCAGAAATGGTATTATGACAAAAAGAATGGGAAGGCAATAATAAATAGAAGAACCCAAGTCTAGTGATGATGCTAGTAAAATGGAATGAAACCTATGATTATTAGACAACAATAATCTTAATTTGGAGAAAGGCATTCAAGTAATAATGTGGCATTCAAGTAATGGGGAGCAGAGAAGGGCTGGTGTTCAAAAGTGAAGAAGCAACGCTGGAAAATAGGATATAACAGAAGTCTACTGCCATCTTTTATTCCCTCAACATTTGCTTTTCTAAAAATTGGTTAAATTTTAGGAATCATGAGTCTGTATTTTGTATCAAATAGCTTTAGCTATTTCAGACAGATAACTGTAATCAGAAAACTATTTTAGATGCTATTTTATTAACAAATGCTAATTTCTATTTGTATAATACCACAATTCAACCAAATTGTAGATTACATAAAAGTATTATATCTTAGATATATGAAGGAATATCAAATTACTCATAATTTAGTCATTATTGAGTAAATATATTTTATTTAAATAATACTTACCCATAATTAGAGAAACTTTTCGTCTGCCTTAACTATCTGTTTTTTGAGGACTAATATTTGAAAGTTAGTAAAATTCAGGTGCATAAAAACAAATTAAGTATGAGCAAGTGAAAACAAAAAGACAATATTTTAATGGCGTCTTTTTTATTTTTTTATTTTTATTTTTTGTAATCCTCACCCAAGGATATTTTTCTTTGATTTTTAATAGAGGAGGGTGGTGAAGGGGGGGGAGAAAAATCAATGTGAGACACACACATCGATCGGTTGCCTCCCACATGACCCCGACCAGAGCCAGGCATCAAACCTGCAACCAAGGTATGTGCCCTTGACCAGGAATTGAACCCACAACCCTTCAGTCCTCAGAACAAGGCTCTAACCACTGAGAACTGGCCAGGGCTAATGGTATTTTTTTTTTTCAAATGCTCACCCAAGGACCTTTTTGCATTTATCTTCAGATAGAGAAGGAGGGAGGGGGGGGGGGAGATGTGAGAGAGAGACATCCACTGGGTGCCACCCACACATCCTGGTTGCCACCCACACAACCCCATCCAGAGCTGGGGATGAACCGCAACCGAAGTACATGCCCTTAGTGGGAACCAAACCCAGGTCTCTATGGTCCACGGGCCAACGCTCTAACTGCTGAACCAAACTGGCCAAGGTGTAATGGCATCTCTTTTAAATGTATTAAAATATTTTATAGTATCCTATGAAGGATAGTACCAATTAACTTTAAAAAGGTGTTAATACTCAATATATTTTATTATTAATAAATAAAATCCAAAGAACAGTATCATATACTTGACTTTTAGAAAGGAAGAGGAAGAAATAAAAGTAACTTGAAATTTAAAGTTAAAAAAGAAAAAGTAGCAAAGGACAATGTAACAATACATTGATTATTAAGCTAAAATTTTTTCATCAAGACATTTCTTAATCAATACATTGCTAAGAATATGAGATCATTTAGTTGATCTTGTCTATTATTAAACTGGACTATTCACCTATTCATGGTGAAGTGAACAAAAGGTTTTCATCTGCATTTTAAAAAATAAATTAGAAAGATAAAGAACCGCATAATGCACATTTCATTTACCGTGCGTTTTTTCAAGCATTCCAACCTTACTCAGAAATAACAAGATACTCAAGTGTTTTAAAATCAAAGGCCTTTAATTTGATTTTCGGTAATAACCATAAATGCCTTCACAAAACCTCCTTTTCACTGAAAACAGAAGGCACTAGGCATTACATAACACCCTGAAAGCAGTGATTTCTTCTGATGCTGGTGGAGATAAACATTAAATGGAAGGTTTAGATCTTAACAATGTCTCCTCAAAAAAAAAACAAGGGTCGGGGATGGGGGTGGGGGGACACTTCTAAAAATCACACAAAAAATGAAGTTACCAGTCAGTCTTTCTCAGGTTCCCAATTCAATTTTAAAATATTTTTACAAGTAACTTGAAATGAATAGATAAACCAGGTTAAGTATGATAGGGTTTTCAACATTTGTTAGGCTTTAATTGAATACTGTAAATATAAAGATTATTATGCTAATTGGCATCCTTTGATACTCTTTAGCTTGAAATGATACATCCTGTAGTGGTATAATTTAAAATATCCTTGATATGACACTAACAACTTTCAAATTCTAGTCACAAACTGCATATAAATTGTGAGATTATTAAAATACACCTTTTGAAAAATAAGATGACCATTTATACCTAAGTAAGGTTTCTTATACCTAAGAAAGTTATGAAATACTTTAGCAATTTAAAAGTAGTTGCCCCTTTTCCATAAGGGTAACTGTTGTTTCACAAAATAACTCATACGACCCGAGGCAAATGATTTCTTTCAAAATGCCATATTCTCTCTATGACTTTGAGGTATGCTTCAAGAGACTACATCCATGAGAAAAGGGCACATTTGGGTATAAGACCACAGTTACAAACACAAGGAGCCTTTCTTGGGTAGGGAGTGCCCTTAAGAGTTATATTAACAGAAAAGGATTGCTTCTGAAGCCATTTCTTTTACAAACACATACAACTAAGTTTGGTTACTTTAAGAGGGTAATTCAAGATGCAGCTATTTACATATGTGCTATGTCATGTGTGCCTTTTTAAAATAGTGGCTTCTGCAGGACACTCCTATTCAAACACAAACCAAACAACTTTGGTAGAATAAACCAAACCACAATCTTCTAGTTTTGGCAAGGTAGTATAAACAAAACAAAACAGAAACAAACAACAACAAAAAACTAGCTATAACAGTGATTAAGCCAAAAGTTCCCTCCCATGTCAAATTACAGTAAGGAAAGTGTTCTGAGAAATATTAATTTTGGGGGAAAAAACCCTACCAAACAAATAATGCTGAAAATCAATCTTACAATTATTCAAATAACACCACATAAAAGGCTTATGAATGCCTTTAAAGTAAGAATAGTTCAGTTTTAAAAATAGCTGATTATTAGGTTTATAATTAGAATGTCTTCGAAAAACATCCAAGCTAACTTAAACAGAAACCAATTAGTAAAGGGTAAGAGGAAATGAACTCTTCCATAATTAATGTTAGATGCCTTCTATAGCCTTTGGAGAAACTAGTAAGATTAAATTTGAAAATGATATAGAAAATAATAAAATGATTACATGACAACTGAGAAACAATACCATGCCACTACTAATAAACATGATGAGTCAAGAAACATATTTTTAAGCAATTATTATGTAAAAGTATGCCTTATATAATTACATATCATAATCAAGTTAAGAAAAAGCTTCAAGACTAGCAGCTGGGTTTTGTGAAACATGTAGGACAACGGAAGGCACTACAAAAGCATTAATTACTTCTAACTACAGTCAGACAGTTCAGTCTTTTCCTTCTTCTGAAGAAGGTAGCCAGTGTCAATGTTATTTTTATATCCCCCTGAGTTTTAACATGATTGGGCAAAACAGCACCAATTTAAAAAAATATTGCAATGCCAGCACTGCAGTTTGGAATCACTTATAACTGATGGCCCCACAGGTCTCTCATAAGAGCACTTTAGAACATGATTAAAAATATAGAAATGCCTTTCAGTGTTTCAGTATTAAAGTGGAACCACCACAGATACCATTTTTTAAAATAATGCACTAAAAAAGTCAGTATAGTCTTTCCACCCTGTAGCTAGCATTTACGGCTATTTTCCACTCCAGGAGATCTCCTTTGTGCGTCCAGTTAAAATGTCAGTATGCTTCATGATGCACATTCAGTCCTTTCTGGCTGGAAAATCCTGGCAAATATCATGTCATGCCCGTTTTGAGCAGTATGCCTTGTAGGTCTTCTGGTACTGCTAAGATAATTGCGTCTATGTGTGTCCGTAACTTTTCCACAGTTTCGGGTTTCACAGGTAAATGCTCTCGATCAGCCTGCAACTGTACAAGGCACATTTGGAAGCATTTCAATTATCATCTGAGTCTGTATTAATACATTGTATTTTCTAAATAAACATTTAAAAATTTCAACCAGAATTTATAGAAATTGTAAAAAAGCAAAGAAAGTGTCATTTAAACATTGTATTGTTTGAGCTCAATAAAAAACTTCTATGTAAATTGATAATACTTACCACATACCATATGGTATTAAAAATGTAAGTGGCAATGATTTTGGAGAGCTCATTAGACTCCATGTAAATACTTTTAAAATATGGCATTATTATGATCTGCTTCAGTGACCAAGTATCTTCAGTTAGATCTACTATCAATTAATTGACCAATCTCAAGTCCTCTCATTTAAAAAGGTTACTTCTGTGCCCTGGCTGGGTAGCTCAGTTAGAGTGTTGTCCCAATATGCCAAGGTTTCAGGTTCAATCCCCGGTCAGGGCACATTCAAGAATCAACCAATGAGCCCTGGCCAGTTTTGCTCAGTGGTTAGAGCGTCGACCTGCAGTCCAGAGAGACCCGGGTTTGGTTCCTGTTAAGGGTATGTACCTCGGTTGCAGTTTGTCCCAGGCCCTGGTTGGGTCGTGCGGGTGGCAACCACTCGATGTGTCCCTTTCACATTGATGTTTCTCTCTCTCTCTCTCTCTCTCTCTCTCTCTCTCTCTCCCCCTCCCTCCCTCCGTCCCTCCCTCCCTCCCTCCCACTCTATCTGAACAACAACAACAAAAAAATGTCCTTGGGTGAGGATAAAAAAGAATCAACCAATGAATGCATAAATAAGGGGAACAACAAATCATTGTTTCTTTTCCTTTCTCTCCCTCTTGTCTCCTTTCCCCTCTCTCTAAAATCAATAGATAAAATAAATTAAAAAAGAAATAAATAAATAAAGCCCTGACTGGTTTAGCTCAGCAGTTAGAGCATCAGCCTGTGGACCAAAGAATCACGGGTTTGCCCTGGCCAGTTTGGCTCAGCGGTTAGAGCGTCGGCCTGCGGTCCGGAGAGACCCGGGTTCGGTTCCCGCTAAGGGCACGTACTTCGGTTGCAGTTTGTCCCTGGCCCTGGTTGGTTGTGTGGGTGGCAGCCACTCAATGTGTCCCTTCATGTCGATGTTTCTCTCTCTCTCCCTTCCTCTCTCTCCCTCCCACTCTATCTGTACAAAAATGGAAAAATATCCTCCGGTGAGGATAAAAAAAAAAAAAAAGAATCACGGATTTGATTCCGGTCAAGGGCATGTACCTCGGTTGTGGTTCATCCCGGCCCTGGTCGCAGTCATGTGGGAGGGAACCAGTCGATGTGTCCCTCTCACGTTGATATTCCTCTCTCTCTCCCCCTCCTTCCCACTCTATCTGAAGATAAACAGAAAAATGTCCTCAGGTGAGGATTAAAAAAATAAATAAGTAAATAAATTTAAAAATAAAAAGGTTATGTCTGTGATACATCATGAACTGTCACCTCAGATATGAAGAAAACATCTTCACGGATCTTTGGTTGTTTTGGGTACTTACCAACTTGCTTTTTAGCTTCAATACAAGATCTACTGTTTCTACTTCTGTGTGTTTCTGCGTCCATAGAAGTAAGTCCTAGAAGAATAAACAAATCCCAAATAAGTTAAGTGCTCAAATCATTTTCAAACTGCTCTATTTCAATAGATAAAACTACTGAGAACAGGAAAAAAAAAGGGGGAATAAGGTATTTAATCCAGATAGAGCATGACAATACAAAAATAGTTCTGTACATGATATTATAACAATTTTAATTAGATGATTTTCAACATTAGCCAGAACAAATTATTAAATATTTGGCAGTAAAATAAGAACTTCTTTTCTAAGGTAGTCCTTCTAGATTAATCACAAAATAACAAAATTGCAACTCCAAGTACAATACTAAACCCTACCCTCACAAAGTAGTGAGTGCTTTATAAGGAACACTGGCTAACAAATGAACATGAATATAATCCTGGATGTAAACTTTGCATCTGCAAATAAGCTCTTCATGGGCTTACTTATGGTTGTCTTCATCATATTCCTTCTCTTAAAACCACAATCACTGCAAGTTTATGATTAGAAAGTTAACACTGAGGCTAGCTCACCTCAAACTAACTACAAATGAAAATGAGACTATCCTTAATAATTTAAAATAGGCTTGCCCTATTAAAATAGGCTGGTGTGGTTCAGTGGATTGAGCATCACCTCATAGACTGAAGGGTCCTAGTTTGATTCCTGGTCAGGGCATATGCCTGGGTTCATGCTCAATTCCCAGGAGGGGGTATGCAGGAGGCAGCCAATCGATGTTTCTCTCTCACATCAATGTTTTTATCTTTCCCTTCCTCTCTCTCTAAAAAGTCAATAAAAACATATTTATGTTTTTAAAAAATAGCCTGGTAACATAAAGCATAAAAAGTCACTCAAAATATAGGGAAAAAATTATTAATAGTAACTAAAAGAGATTAATAAGGCATGTTGGAAAAAATCTGGAGTTAGACTGTTTGAATTTGAATCCTGACTCCATTCAGTAGGATGCTGGAAAATATTTAACAACCAGAAAAAGTCTCTGGTTTGTAGCATTTGCCAATTTCTGTAATGTAATACTCCCACTGTAGCCGATTTCAAACTACTAACCTGAGCTCACTGAATGCAGAGCGGGGAAGAGATGTACAGTCAGCTCTTATGAGCCAATGCAAGTGGGCTCTGACTCACTGCTGGCTCCCGTACTAAGCAGTAATGTAATCTGAGCAAGTCACTTAACTTACAATCCTCAGGTATCCCACAATGTAGATCATAACATACCTTCAATGAAGTGGTGTGAAAATTAAAAGACATTATCCATATAGAGCACCTACACAGTCCTTGGCATATAGCACATGATCTAGAAAAGTTAGCTATTATTATTATTATTTTTTTTGGTGGTACGTGCCCCTAGTGGTAACCGAACCCGGGACTCTCTGGTCCGCAAGCCGATGCTCAACCACTGAGCCAAACAGGCCAGGGCAGCTATTATTTTTTATAAAGTAGTAGATATGGACATCCTTCCAGCCTCTAAGGATAATTTTATCCTTTTTCAATAGTTGTTAATATCACACAAATATGCTGTTCTCTAACCTCTTCACAAAGAGCTTCTAGATGGAGTGCCTCCAATTTCTGGGTCATTTCCTTCCGCCGGGTCTTGAACCAACCATCAAAATTTGGGGATTTTAGAAAATGCCTATAAAAATAAAATTTAAAACAGCAAATTTGATTATGACTTACTTCCTCTCCTTAATTCCTTTCCTACCTATAGCTGGAAGAACCATGTGAAACAACGAAATTCCGAATAAAAGAATATAAGTTTAAGTCCAGCTTTTTTTTTTTTTTTAAATAAAGCTCTACAGATGGGTGAAAAAGGAAAAAGGAGGCTAACCGGTAAAGTCCAATCCAATCGCCTTTTATTCTAGAGGTCAACTGAGGTCCTGCTTTCTCAAGTGTTTTCATAAATTCTTCCGGAAGGAATTGTCTTAATTGGGGTGGACTCTAGAAAAAAAAAGACATATACTGTATTTAAAAACTAGAAATGGATATGTTCAAAGAAATTAATTATAGTTAGAAAACTCATATAGAAATTTAATTGAATATATTTATACCTTCCATGGAGAAATACTTTTCTGCAAAGGCATCAAACTTGCTACATATCTTTCCTAAAACCAAGAAAAAAAAGTTAATCAAGTTAGGTATTCCAGAGTGTCTTTAAAAACGTTTAAATATACTTACTAAAAGAAATGGGTTACCAAGTTTTGCATCATATGGTCTTCCAATGAACATCAACAATACCATTACTCCCACAGTGATAAATAAAGCTAAATTCAGACTGTATTAAGGGAAGTCAGACTTTTAATAAATATGTAACTAAATCTTCGATAATCCAAGGAACTACATTTAAAAAACATTTTTATTTATTGATTTTTTTTAAAAAAGAAGAATGACAGAGAGAAACAATGATTTGTTGTTCCACTTATTTATGCATTCATTGGTTGCTTCTTGTATGTGCCCTGACCAGGGATTGAACCAGCAACCTTGGTGTACTGGGACGAGGCTCTAACCAGCTGAGTACCTGCCCAGGGCCAGGACTACACATTTTTAATAATAACTAACCTTACTAAGGTTCCAGAAAATACACTCAACATTTTAAATGTATAATCTCTTTTAATCCTTGCAACCATCCTATTGGGAACCTAAGGCTTCAAAAGGCTAAATAACCCACCCAAGGTCACACAGTTTAAACTTGAATTCAGATCTACTTGACTTCAGCCCATGCTCTAAGCACTACAGAAAGGTTCATTTACTTAAATTTAAATGGAACAAAACAAACTGACACCCATAGACCAAGAAAGAATATTTCTTCTCAAAATATAATAGCAAAAATCTCCAGCTTACCCCCATATAGAATTCAGATAGATTGCTTTACATTAATAACTACATGAAATCTCTCTCCAATCCAGTCTGCATACTAGAACCACATTATGCCTGATACGGTGAGGCTTCATTTAGTATTTTAATGATTTCCCTGAATTTCATGGAATAACCATATCATTCAGTTATTTACTCCACAAATATTTATTGAGCATTACCATAAACCAGACTGAGGAAAAGATAATGAACAGACAGACAGACAAGAACAGTTATCATGGAGCTACAGTTTCATGGATATCGTATCAAATTGTGCTCAAGAAAATGAAATCAATGTCCTGGCTGGGTAGATAAGTTGCCTAGAGCATTGTCCTGATACCCCAAAGGTGCCGGTTTGATCCCTGGTCAGGGCACATACAAGAAGCAATCAATAGCCCTGGCCGGTTTGGCTCAGCAGTTAAAGCGTTGACCTGCGGTCCAAAGAGTCCCGGGTTCGGTTCCCGTTAAGGGCACATACCTCGGTTGCAGTTTGTCCCTGGCCCTGGTTGGTCGTGCGGGTGGCAGCCACTCGATGTGTCCCTTTCACGTCGGAGTTTCTCTCTCTCTCTGTTCCTCTCTCTCCCTCCCATTTTACCTGAACAAAAAATGGAAAAATGTCCTTGAGTGAGGATAAAAAAAAAAGAGGCAATCAATAAATTCATTAATGGAACAACAAATGGATGTTTCTCTCTCCTCTCTCTCTCAAATCAATAAAATAAAAATAAAATAAAATGGGAAAAGAAAATCAGAAAAAGAAGCTACAGGATAACCTATAAAGGTATAAAATGCAATAAGTATATAACATTCTACTGCAATTATCTCATTTAAGGTATTCACAACAACCCTGAAAGGTATTTAGGAAAAGTGGAATTAGCCATATTTTATAAAGAAATTGAGGGTAAGAGTAAAAAGTGACTTCCCAAAGTTATACAGTTAATGAATCAAGAATCCAGGTCTCTATTTTTAATCACTAAACACATAAGCAGACAAACACATACCTAAAAAAAGGTTTTGGTGGATGGGAAAAACATTCATGTACCCTTCAACGAATCATTACATTATGCAAATGTATATGTTAACTTACTAATGGAATGATGAAACTTTGTGTCAGTTCCAAGAAATAGCGTCGCAGAATAACGCTTTGAGCCTCAGAAGGACGTTTCTGTTGTACACCCTTAAAAGAGAAAACAATAAGAACCTATATCTAGTATTAGGGAATATAAGACAATGGATAATTATAGAAGTTCAACTGATATATTTAAAATATATATCAATGTAAAACAAACCCTACCCTTCATTTTGGAGTAATTTAATCTAAAATTCATTATGCAATATATTATGAAAAAATTCTTAGAGAAAAACATAAAACATTCATCCCATACTTAAAAATACCAGTTCACAACAAAGACTGCCTTTATTTCATACCTGCTGTATTAATACTATTTACATTTTCCAAAAAAAGGCTAACTATCCCCTACTATTAGATGCTAAGCTACCTCGTGACACAGTCCATTTTTTCACTATAACTTACAAGTATCTAGGAAGACTGGCACTAGCTGCAGCTCCCTATTTTAAGTTCATAATTGCTGCTACTATAGTCAGTCTCCTGATTTTTATGAAGCTTTGGTTCAAAAGAGAGGCCCTGTTTCACATTATTGTACATAAAGCACACATTGCCTAGTGTATACTGCATACCTGAACAAGAATATTTAAATTAGTAATATGAGCAAATAATTACCTTCTGTAATTGTTTTATGATCTCTTCATCTCTATTTAGATATGGCTTATAAGAAGTATAAACTCCTTAGAAATAAAGAAAATAAGGTAAACAGTAAGTTTATATTGTTTTAAACAAGTACCCATATATGTATATATTTTAAAATTAGTAAAAGTCAATACCAGGTTTAGAATCCAAAGTCTTTAGGTTCTTCAATTTTTTCACTTTAACTTGCTTAGGAATTTCACCTGAAGGAAACATCAGGAAGATTCTTAGAATTATTCAAATTGCACATCACAAAACTGGAATTTTATAAGATTAATAATCTGCTTACTATTACTTAGGGATATTGTAGCTAATGTAGTCTTCCTAACACCAATTACTGTTATTGATGTTATTACTGATACTTTAAAACTGGCTAAAGGGAATACTGGATTATTACAGCATTACAGAAACAATTTGTATAAATTACATAAAATGGGTACTTGGATCTTTCATTAATATCTATCATTATTTAAAATTTTCCCTTTTTATCACTCAACTAATAATTTTTTTTTATCCTCACCCAAAGACATTTTTCGATATTTTGTTCAGATAGAGTGGGAGGGAGAGAGAGAAACATCGATGTGAAAGGGACACATCGAGTGGTTGCCACCCGCATGACCCAACCAGGGCCAGGGACAAACGGCAACCTTAGGGGGAACCAAACCCGGGTCTCTCTGGACCGCAGGCCGACGCTCCAACCACTGAACCAAACTGGCCAAGGCACTCAACTAATAATTTAAAATATTTGTGCCAAATACATAATTTGAACATTTATGTGCCAATATAAATAAAATATCCTTTAAGAGTCAATGGAATTAAAAGCAACTCCTAAATTAGAATGCAGATGTAGTATTCAAAGATTTTTTTCTGGCACCTCTCAAAATTCTGCTTTTGCATTGTAGAAACTTACACTGCCACCAGGCAGTGATAGTGTATGCCACAACCACAGGTAGGATTCACAGACGGACAGGACTCCTGAGCAGGACTGCTGTGAACAACTCCAGCAGCATACACAGTGGTTCTAGTCTCAAGGTCTAGAGAAGCTACAATCTAAACCACCCTTCTAACTGGCAGAAAAACACCTCAAGATAAACACGTAAAAGTGTCATATACATACAAAATAAAACAGGCTTTCTTTCTCTGTCCTTCCCTCCTCCTCCCCATTGGTCCTAGGTCTTTTATTTTTATTTATTAATTTTTCATCCTCATCCGAGGATATTTTTTCATTGATTTCTAGAGAGAGTGGGAGCGTGAGAGAGAAACATTGATGTGAGAGAGACACACCGTTTGGTTGCCTCCTGCATGACCCTGACCAAGGCTGGGGATAGAATCTGCAACTCTTCGGTCCACAGGGCAACACTCTAACCACTGAGTTAAACCAACCAGGGTGGTCCTAGGTATTTTAAAAGGTAACTTCAGCCAAGCTCAGTGGTTTGAGCATCCCATGCACCAAGAGGTTGATGGTTTGATTGCCAGTCAGGGCACATAGCCAGGTTGCAGGCTCGATCCCCAGTATGGGGCATGCAGGAAGCAGCTGATCGATGTTTCTCTCTCATCAATGTTTCTATCTACCCCTCTCCCTTCCTCTCTATCTAAAAAATCAATAAATATATATTTATAAAAAAAATAAATGGTAACTTCACCTGCCTGAAGAGATTTATCAGAATAGCAAGAATATTAGCTGGCAAGATATCATAAGAAAAGAAACTGCAGATCGATATTCCTCATGGATGCAGATGTAGAAATCCTCAACAAAATATTAGCAAATCAAATCCAGAAACATAAAAAGGAACTATACACCATGACCAAATAGGATTTATCCAAGGAATGTAAGGTTGGTTTAACGTTTAACATCAAAAAAATCAATTAATATAATATACTATATTAACAAAGGACAAAAACCACATAATGATCTCCATAGATACAGAAAAAGGGTTTAACAAAACTCAGCACTAATTCATAATAATCACTAAAGCTAGGAATAGAAAGATAAATTCCTCAAACTGATAAAGGACATCTATGAAAAACCTACATCTAGTACCATAATTAGACTTGTATATTTAAAACTATAAAACATTGCTGAGAAAAACTAAGGAACTAAACAATGAATAAATATTTTATTTATTTATTTATTTATTTATTTAATCCTCACCCGAGGACATTTTTTCGTTTTTTGTTCAGATAGAGTGGGAGGGAGAGAGAGAAAGATCGACATGAAAGGGACACATCAAGTGGTTGCCAACCAGGGCTGGGGACAAACTGCAACCAAGGTACATGCCCTTAGCAGGAACCGAACCCGGGTCTCTCTGGACCGCAGGCCGATGCTCTAACTGCTGAGCCAAACTGGCCAGGGCTGAAGAAACATTTTAAATTCCTGGATTGAAAGGCTTAGTATTTTTCAGATGGCAATTCTCTCCCAAATTGGTTACCTATTTAACAGAATCCCTATCAACATTCCAGCTGCCTTTTCTACAGAAATTGATAAACTGATCTTAAAATTTATATGGAATGCAAAAGACCAAGAATAGCCAAAACAATTCTGGAAAAGAAGAACAAAGTTTAAAGACTTTTAAATCTTTTTTATTTTTTTTATCCTCACCCGAGGACATTTTTCCATTTTTTGTTCAGGTAGAGTGGGAGGGAGAGAGAGGAACAGAGAGAGAGAGAGAAACATCAATGTGAAAGGAACACATCGAGTGGCTGCCACCCGCACAACCGACCAGGGCCGGGGACAAACTGCAACCGAAGTACATGCCCTTAGCGGGAACCGAACCCGGGTCTCTCAGGACCGCAGGCCAACGCTCTAACCGCTGAACCAAACCGGCCAGGGCAAGACTTTTAAATCTTTTACCCATTTAAAATTAGATTAGTAAGACAATAATCTAATTTTAAGTGGCAAAAGATTTTTAAAAATTTTTTTATTTATTTTTTAACTTTTTAATGTTTTAATCCTGACTCAAGGACATTCTTGCATTTATCTTCAGATAGAGCAGGAGGGAGAGAGGAAGGAAAAGAGAGAGAGAGAGAAACATTGACATGAGGGAGACACACCGAGTGGTCACCACCCACACGACCCCAACCAGGGCCAGGAACAAACTGCAACCTAAGTATGTGCCCTTAGTGGGAACCGAACCCAGGACTCTCCGGTCCATGGGCCAACGCTCTAACAGCTGAGCCAAACCGGCCAGGGTATGGCAAAAGATTTAAATCAACATTTCATCAAAGAAGATATATGAACAATTAATAAGTAGATGAAAAGATGCTCAACATCAGTAGTCACTAGGGAAACACAAATTAAAACTACCATTTCAAACCCACTAAATGCTACAATGAAAAAGATAGACAAGCCCTGGCCGGTTTTGCTCAGTGGTTAGAGCGTCGGCCCGCATACCAGAGAGTCCCAGTTTCGGTTCCCCCTAAGGGCATGCACCTGAATTGCAGTTTGAACCCGGCCCGGTTGGGGTTGTGTGGATGGCAACCAGTCAATGTGTCTCTCTCACATCGATGTTTCTCTCTCTCTCTTCCTCCCTTTCTCCCTCCCACTCTATCTGCAGATAAATGCAAAAATGTCCGCAGGTGAGGATAAAAAAAAAGAGAGAGAGCATCAGCCAGAAGACAAATGAGTTGCAGGTTCAGTTCTGGCCAAGGGCACGTACCTTAGTTGCGGTTCATTCCCGGCCCTGGTCCAATCCTGCAGGAGGCAACCAGTTGATGTGGCTCTATCACATCGATGTTTCTCTCTGTCTCTCTCCCCCTTCTTCCCACTCTATCTGATGATAAATGGAAAAGTATCCTCGAGTGAGGAATACAAAAAAAGAAAAGAAAAAGACAGACAATACCAAATATATTGGTAAGGATGTGAAGAAATAGAAACCCTCATGCACTGCTGGTAAGAATGTACAATGGTGAGCCACTCTGGAAAATAGTTTGGCGTTTCTTTTTTGTTTGTTTGTTAATCCTCACCCGAGGATATTTTTTTCCATCAATTTTTAGAGAGAGTGGAAGGGAGGGAGGGTTAAAGACAGAGAAAGTGCCCAGTTGGTGTGGCTCAGTGGTTGAGCATCGACCCCATGCACCAAGAGGTCACTGGTTCGATTCCTGGTCAGGGCATATGCCCAGGTTGTGGGCCTGGTCCCCAGTGGGGGGCATGCAGGAGGCAGCCGATCGATGTTCTCTCTCATCGATGTTTCTGTCTCTCCCTCCCTCTCCCTTCCTCCCTCTCTAAAAAAAAATCAATAAAGAATATTAAAAAAAGAGAATTCCTCTTTCTAAAAAACAAAAGGCAAAGAGAGAGAGAGATAAAGAGACATCAATGTGAGAGAGACACATCAACTGGTTGCCTCCCATGTGCCCTGACTGGGACTGGGGATTGAACCTGCAACCCAGGTATGTGTCTTTGACTGGGAATCGAACCCGAGACCTTTTGGTGCATGGGCTAACACTCTAACCACTAAGCCACACTGGCCAGGGCATTTGGTGCTTCTTAAAAAGTTAAACAGATTTATCAACTCATGTTACTTTACCAATTTTATGCAAAAGTTCCTCTACTTACATCCCTAACAATGAGCCATTTTTCATTGGAAAACGACAATAAACAGTAAACTACTAGTATAGCAAATTAACTATGTTACAATTAATCAAACAGTCTATATTAATAAAATAAAACCATATGAGTAAATGTCATGATTAAATTAAGATAAAAAAAAAACTTTTCATATCTTCTCTTAGCTAAGACTCTGGTAACTGCTGTGCTCTCAATTATCAATAATAATCAGACATAACACTAGTGAAATGACAGGAGACCATGACATTTACAGAGTGCCATGAGTTAGGCACTGTGTTTAATCCAGCAAACAAATGTGAGGTTTAAGGAGACTGTTCTGCCTAAACTCACACATATCTGACTGCTAGAGTGAAACACTTTGCTCTTTTATTTCAGATGGTATCTAAAGATTTCAGTATAAGATTGAGTCTAATATTTATAAATAATATGATTTAAAAAGTTATTCCTGCCTGGCCAGTGTGGCTAAGGGGATTGAGCATTATTCCATGGACTGAGATGTCCCAGTTCAATTCCTGGTCAGGGCACATGCCTGGATTGCAGGCTTAATCCCCAGTAGGGGGCATGTAGGAGGCAGCTAATTGATGTTTCTCACATCAATGTTTCTCTCTCTCTCTAAAAAAAATCAATAAAAACATATTTAAAAATAAAATAAAATTTTATTCCCTGGATCTAATATCTATTTAGATTTATGTATATAAATAAGAAAAATTTCTTTCTTTTCTTTTTTATTTATTTTTTTGTGTGGTACATACCCCTAGCAGAAACCAAACCCGGGACTCTCTGGTCCACAGGCCGACGCTCAACCACTGAGCCAAACTGGCCAGGGCAATAGGAGAAATTTCTTATAAAATAATAACACTATTAAATAATGCTTTAAATATACCTGTGTATACCAAAAGAAAAGTCTTATAAGTATCACATCATAAAGTTATTTAAAAATATTTTCACTATCTCAAGTCTCAACTATTTCAATGAAAAAAAATCAGAAATGTCCAGTGAGAAATGAAAGAGGTACTATTAAATTGTCATCTAAATTAACAAAAATTTCAACCTCAGAATTCATTTATTCATTTAAAAACACTTTTAAAATAGCTTCCATGGCTCTTTTCGCCATCTTGGAGCCTGTGGAAGCCTGTTGGGAACAGGACTTCTAAATCAACAAATAACGTGTGGAAGGCTGTGGTACAAGGCCATTACTGCTGGATATAAGCAGGCTCTCCGGAACTAGAGCAAGGATACAGCTTTTCTTAAAACTGAAGGTGTTTATGCTTGAAATGATACTGAATTCTATTTAGGCAAGAGATGTGCTTATCCATACAAAGCAAAGAATAACATAGTGACTTGGGGTGGCAAACTGAGTAATCTGGGAAAATTATGGAAATAGTGGAATTATTTGTGCCAAATTCGGAAGGAATCTTTTGCTGAGGCCATTCAACACAGATTCCATGTACTGCTATATTCCTTGAGGATTTAAATTTATTGAAAAGTAAATAAGTAAAAGTGGATTTGTTCTCTTGTTTTAAAAAAAAAAGCCCTTGCAGGTTTTTCTCAGTGGTTAGAGTGTCAGCCTGCAGACCAAGAGTCCCTGGTTTGGTTCCCACTAAGGGCACGTACCCCAGTTCCAATTCGTCCCTGCCCCTGTTAGGGTCAAGTGGGTGGCAACCAGTCGATGTGTCTCTCTCACATCCATGTTTCTCTCTCTCTCTTCCTCCCTCTCTCCCTCCCACTTTAGCTGAAGATAAATGCAAAAATGTACTCTGGTGAGGATTAGAAAAAAAAGCCACATTAGCAAGGTAAATATATCTTATTTTCTCAAGGAAAGCAAAACATTTTGATTACTTCTTTAATCAATACCAATACCACAGAAATGTATAATACTTGTTCTGAGACCTAACCAAGAATTTATGGCAGATTGAATAATTTGAGTTTCTATAAGGTTTCATTCAAGCAGTGTTAGAAATCCCTTTTTGATTGGATTAGCCATATACAAAAAGTAGCTCAAATTTTCAAGGTTTCATTTTGCTATAATTAATTCCATGTTTATAAGACTCTAAGTACATTTTCTGGTAGGAGAAATAATGGGTTTCACCTGTATATTTTAGTAAGAAGTTACGCTTTTCTCCAAAAGCCCTTAATTCAGGTTGCCTCAAAAAAGATTGCCATCAGCCCTGGCCGGTTTGGCTCAGCGGGTAGAGCGTCGGCCTACAGTCCAGAGAGACCCAGGTTTGGTTCCCGCTAAGGGCGCGTACCTTGATTGCAGTTTGTCCCCGGCCCTGGTTGGGTTGTGCGGGTGGCAGCCACTCGATGTGTCCCTTGCACGTTGATGTTTCTCTCTCTCTTTCTCCCTCCCACTCTATCTGAACAAAGAATGGAAAGGTGTCCTTGGACGAGGATTAAAAAAACAAAACAAAACATAATAAAAAGTAACCAAAAACTGAAAACAAACGGGAAGAAATAAACCTGCTCAGCCACATTACACACTAAAAAGCATAACATCGAATTTATACTTTACCGGCTGGTTTAAGGTCTCCTATTCGAATAATGTGTGGCCAGTGCTGAAGTGTTTTTGCAAAAAAAGGGTTGGTTACTCCTAAAATGACTGAGGGCCTACATAAAAACAAAGAGAGAAAAAGATGAATGTTCCATCAGAGAAGAATAGTTTACAATTTTTTTGAGTGAACCATAAATAGATTATATTTTCCTTCATTCAATGTATTACATATATGCCAGACTACATGCCAGACACCATGTTTAGCACTAGGCCTATAAAGATGAAAAGACATTTTCTTCTTTTTTTAAAATAACTTTTCTTTATTGATTGAAAAGGGGAGAGCGAAAGAAACTTCAATGAGAGAACATTGACTGGCTGCCGCCTCCTCCACGCCCCCACTGGAGATTGGGCCCACAACCTGGGCATGTGCCCTGACCAGGAATCGAACTGGCAACCTCTTGGTGCATGGGTCGATGCTCAACCACTGAGCCACACCAGCCAGGTGACATAGTCTTTCTAAAAGCACACAGTTAAAAGGTATACATACTGAATTATGATGCAGAAATTATAAAACAGTGAAGGTAGTATAAAATGTACAATAATTACAAAGGAGACACTATGTCTACCAGGAGATTAAAGGATGGCCTTATCACAGAGATGACATTTGCATAAAGATATGAAAGATGAGTAAGAGTTCTTTTTTTTTTTTTTTTTTTTATTGTTTTTATCCTCATCCGAGGACATTTTCCCATTTTTTATTCAGATAGAGTGGGAGGGAAGGAGAGAGAGAGAAACATCAATGTGGAAGGGACACATCGAGTGGCTGCCACCCGCACAACCCAAGCAGAGCCGGGGACAAACTGCAACCGAGGTACATGCCCTTAGCGGGAACCGAACCCGGGTCTCTTGGGACCGCAGACCGACGCTCTAACTGCTGAGCCAAACCGGCCAGGGCAGATGAGTAAGAGTTCTTTACCAAATAGATAACGATGGTAAAGGTGATGCAGTAGAATGAACAGTATGGACAAAGCAATAAAGTAAGATAGATCATGATCTGTTTGTAGAACTACAAATAGTTTGGTATTTCTAGAACACAAAACAAAAGATGACTAGTCAGAAATAAAAGTATTTGGGCATTGGATGCTGGCCAGATCATGAAGTACCAAGTTAATATGCTAAGAAATTTAGATGTTATCTTACAGGCAAATGAAAGTTTCTGGAGAACTAAGTGGAAGAATGCCACATGAATGAAAATGTGCTTATTAGAAAGGTTACTCTGGGGAAAATTTAGAAGATACCCTACAAGGAAGGGAAGAGGTTTGGGAAAAAGCAACAGCAAATATGAACAACAAACAGGAGAACTGGAAGTCATCAAGACTTCCAGTCAAGATGGCAGGTAGGTAAACGCGGTATCACATCCTCCACAACCACATAAAAGTTACAACTAAACCACAGAACAACCATCATTCAAAACTACCTGAAATCAAGCTGAATGGAAGTTCTACAACTACGGAATTAAAGCAGCAGCCACATCCAGACTGGTAGGAGGGGCGGAGGCGCGAGGGGCGGAGGCGCGAGGGGCGGGTCCCACACGCACAGATAAAAATCAGGAGGCTACCTCGGCTGGAAGGTCCTTCCTGAGGACTGAGGGGTCCCCATCCCACACCAGATGCCCCTCTCAGGGTTCCAGTGCCAGGAAGAGAATCCCCATCACTTCTGGCTGGAAAAACCAGTAGGAACTGAGGCTCAGGGAAGCTGAGGCGGCTGGAGCCCCAGGCAGCTCCTTAAAGGGCCCGCGCACAGACTTGTCAGACTCTCTCCCTCTAAGCTTGGAGGGGAGGCAGCTCGAAGAGCACCAGAGACATACAGGGAAAAACTGAGCTGTTTGGCACTGGATCCAGGGCTGGAGAGGGGGCTTTCTCCAGGACAAAGTGCTGTCGGAGGCCTTTGTTCCTTTGGTGAGCCCTTCCCTGGAGCGGCAGACAGTCGCCATATCGGGGACTTCAGCAACCTGGCTCACACTGGTAGCCCCGCCCTGGTGATTCCCTGAGGCCCCGCCCTGCCCCACCCAACTTTCAGGCCCACCCAACTTTCAGGCCCACCCAAGCTGTTGCCACTTGCTTAACCATAGGATTGGCCTATCTTGGATCCTGCTTCAGGTTTTCCTAAATTCTTTCAAACAAGCAGCATCTGGTCTCAGCGAGCCCCATACTGCTTGTTAAGTAATACACAGAAACAAACACAGGAAGGCAGCCAAAATGAGGAGACAAATAAACAGGTCCCAAATGAAAGAACAGAACAAAACCCCAAGAAAAGACCTAAGCGAAATGGAGATAAGCAACCTAACAGATGCTGAGTTCAAAATACTGCTTATAAAGATGCTCAATGAACTTAGTGAGAACCTCAAGAGCATAAAAAAGGACCAGTCAGAAATTACAGATGCATAGTTAGAAATGAGGGAGGCATTAACTGAAATAAAGAATAATTTACACAGATTCAATAGTAGAGTAGGTAAAGCCAAGAAGCAAACCATCGATTTGGAATATAAGGAATCAAAAAAACGCCCAATCAGAACAGCAAAAAGAAAAAGGAATCCAAAAAAATGAGGATAGTGTAAGGAGCCTCTGGGACAACTTCAAGCATGCCAACATTCACATCTTGGGGGTGCCAGAAGGAGAAGAGCGAGAACAAGAAATTGAAAACCTATTTGAAACAATAATGGCAGAAAACTTTCCAGAGGGAACTGCAGGGTGCTGGGACACCAGAGAAGCCTGTGCGACCCAGCAGGGACTGTGCGATCCAGTTACCCGTGGGACCTGTGGGGTGCTGAAGCACCAGAGAGGCCCCTGTGACCCAGCAGAGACTGTGCCAACCAGTTACCCGGGAGACCTGTGGCGTGCTGAAGCACTGAAGAGGCCTGTGCGACCCAGCAGGGACAGTGCCATCCAGTTACCCTTGGGACCTGCGGGATGGATGCTGAAGCACCAGAGAGGGCTGTGTGACCCAGCAGGGACTGTGCGATCCAGTTACCCGCGGGACCTGCAGGGTGCGGGGGCACCAGAGAGGCCTGTGCAACCCAGCTGTGCAATAGATAGACTTAGAGGATGTGAAAATGGAGGTACACAGACAATCTCCCAGGACCAAATGGGAATTACAAGTAAAATAAAGACAAATCCTCGGAAAAAAGCAACAGAGAGCAGCAGGAGAGGACCATATAACCAAGGTCACTGGTAGGATCTGAGGAGGCGCAAAAGGGTGAAGGGCGTGGAGCCCACAGACAGCAGCAGTCTTAGCTGTGAGCCGTGCCCTTGGGGAATAAAGACCAAGCCCGCTCCACAGCTCACAGACCCAGGACAGAGTGCTAAAATAGCCACAGCCACTCACCTGGGGGCTATGGCAGAGGGAGGGCAGACTGGGCTGAAACTCTGTGGGGACAAATGAGATTTGGAAGGCACTCAAGAGTTTATGCTGAGTTGTGGCCACAAAGGACAGTGGCCAGTGTGCTCCTTCCCCAAGCAGTGGGGAAAAGCAGCAGTCCCTGCCTCAGATATGCAGCCTTTCCCAGATGAGGAAAGAAATGAAAATTGAGGCTCATTAACAACCAGCATCTATCCCACGCTCTGGAAATCCGCTTATGCAGAACACCAGGGCTACATTCCAAGCACTGAGTAACTGAAACTACTAGCCTCCAGGAAAAAGCTAGAGGATAACTGAACCTTTCCTAGCCTTGCAAATCTACCCAGGAAAGTAAGACTTGACAGTGGTGTTTAATGTGGGCCCACCCAGGCTCATCCAAGCCCAGTACAGGGAGCCACAAAAAGCAGAACACCAATACCCACAGGGAAAATTTGGCAGGCTTCAAAACCCACTGAAATAGCCAAAATGGTGAAACAAAGAAACAAATCCCAAATGAAAGAACAAGAGAACTCTATCGAAGATGAGATCAATGAAATGCAGCTAAGCAAATTATCAGAGGTAGAGTTCAGAGCCATGATCTTGAGGAAGCTCAACAGCCTGAGTAAGGACATCAGCACCATGAGTAAAGATATAGAAACACTGAAAACCAACCAAGTGGAAATGAAGAATGACATAGCAGAAATTAAGAACACAAAGGAAGGACTAACCAGCACAGTAGAGGAAGTTGAGGACTGGATCAGTGAATTAGAAAACAGGGTAGAAAAAAATCAACCAATCAGAAAGCCAAAAGGAGAAAATAATTAAAATACAGGCAGATAGTTTAAGAGAACTGTGGGACAACCGGAAATGTAATAACATTCGCATCATAGGAGTCTCCGAAGAGGAAGAAAATGGGCAAGGGTAAGATAATATATTTGAAGAAATAGTGACAGAAAACTTTCCTAACTTGATGAAGGAAGAAGGCATTCAAGTTCAAGAAGCACAGAGAGCCCCAAGTAAGAAGAACCCAAACAGGTCCACACCAAGACACATAGTAATTAAAATACCAAAAATTAAAGACAAAGAGAGAATCCTAAAGACAGCAAGAGATAAACAACAAGTTACCAACAAAGGAAATCCCATAAGGCTCTCAGCTGACTTCACACAAGAAACACTACAGGCCAGAAGGGAATGGCATGAAGTAATCAAGGTCATGAAAAACAAGGATCTGAATCCAAGACTATTCTACCCAGCACAGCTATCATTCAAAATAGAAGGTCAAATAAAGAGCTTCCCAGACAAAAAAAGGCTAAGGGAATACATTAGCACCAAACCAACATTGCAATAAATGTTAAAAGGACTGCTGTAATTAGTAGAAGAAATAGAAAGAAAAATAGAACCACACTAAACAAAAATGGCAATAAATAAGTACATATCAATTATCACCTTAAATGTGAATGGTTTCAATGCTCTGATAAAAAGACACAGAGTAGCTGCCTGGATAAGAAAGCATGACTCACCTATATGTTGTTTACAAGAAACCTACCTCATAACAAAAAACTGACATAGGTTGAAAGTGAAGGGATGGAAAAAAATCTTTCAAGCAAATGGAAAGCAAAAAAAAGCTGGGGTAGCAATACTCATATCTGATAAAGTAGATTTCAAAATGAAGACCATAACTAGAAACAAAAAAAGGCCACTACATAATATTGAAAGGATCTATCCACAGGAAGATATAACCTTGATAAACATATATGCACCCAACATAGGAGCACCAACATATATTAAAAACCTTTTGGAGGACTTCAAAGAAGAAATCAACAGCAATACAATCATAGCAGGGAACTTCAACACCCCGCTGACATCACTGGATAGATCTTCTAGACAAAAAATTAACAAGGAAACACAGACTTTAAATGAAGTGCCAGATCAAGTGGATTTAATAGATATCTACAGAAAATTACACCCCAAAAGTACAGAATTCACATTTTTCTCAAGAGCACATGGGACATTCTCAAAGATAGACCACATGTTAGGGTACAAACTAAGTCTCTACAAGTTCAAGAAGACTGAAATCATATCAAGCATCTTCTCAGATCACAATGGCATGCAAATAGAAATCAACTGCAACAAGAACGTGCAAAGACATTTGAAAACATGGAGGCTAAGTAGCATGTTATTGAACAATGAATGGGTTACCATTGAGATCAAGGAAGAAATTCAAAACTACCTGGAAACCAATGAAAATGAACACACAACAACACAAAATCTATAGGATGCAGCAAAAGCAGTTCTGAGAGGGAAGTTCATAGCACTACAGGCCTACCTCAAGAAACAAGAAAAATGTTTAACAGAATATCTAACTTCACAACTTAAAAAACTAGAAAGCAAACAAAAAGAAAACCCCAGAGCAAGTAGAAGGAAGGAAATAGTAAAGATCAGAGCAGAAATAAATGATATAGAGACCAAAAAAACAATTGAAAGGATCAATGAAACAAAGAGCTGGTTCTTTGAAAAGAAACAAGATTGATGAACTCTTAGCTAGACTCACGAAGAAACAGAGAGAGAACCCAAATACACAAAATCAGAAATAAAAGAGGAGAAATAATAACTGACACCACAGAAATACAAAGGATTGTTAACAAATATTATGAACAATTATATGGCAACAAATTCTACAATCTAAGCAAAATGGACAAATTTCTAGAAACACATATTCTCCCAAAACTGAACTAGGAAGAGATAGGAAACTTGAAAAGACCAATAACAACTAAGAAAATTGAAGAGGTAATCAAGCTTCTTCCAACAAACAAAAGCCCAAGCCCAGACGGCTTCACGGAGGAATTTTACCGAACATTCAAAGAAGAACTAATACCCATTCTCCTCGAACTATTTCAAAAAATTTAAGAAGTCTTCCAAACTCGTTTTATGAGGCCAGCATAATTCTAATTCCAAAACCAGAAAAAGACACTACAAAGAAAGAAAACTACATACCAATATCCCTGATGAACATAGATGCCAAAATCCTGAACAAAATACTAGCAAATCGAATCCAGCAATACATCAAAAAAATTATTCACCATGACCAAGTGGGATTCATCCCAGGGATGCAAGGCTGGTACAATATTCACAAATCATTAAATGTGATACACCACATAAACAAAATAAAAGATAAAAATCATATGATCATATCAATAGATGGTGAAAAAGCATTCAACAAAATCCAGCATCCATTTCTGATAAAAACGCTCAGCAATCTGGGAATAGAGGGATCATATCTCGACATAATAAAGGCCACATATGAAAGACCTACAGCCAACATCATACTCAATGGGCAAAAATTAAAAGCATTTCCCTTAAGAACAGGAACAAGACAAGGATGTCCACTTTCGCCACTCTTATTTAACATAGTCCTGGATGTCTTAGCCAGAGCAATCAGACAGGAAGAAATAATAACAGGGATCCAAATTGGAAAGGAGGAAGTGAAACTGTCATTATTCGAAGATTACATGATACTATATGTAGAAAACCCCAAAGACTCCATCAAAAATTTACTAGACTTAATAAAGGCATTTGGCAAAGTAGCAGGATACAAAATTAACGTCAAGAAATTGATGGCATTCTTACACAACAAAGATGAACTCACAGAAAGAGAAACTAAAAAAAACAATCCCATTTACCATCACAGCAGAAAAATTAAGATACCTAGGAATAAACTTAACCAAAGAAGTAAAGGGCCTATATGCAGAAAACTACAGGACATTGAAAAAAGAAATAGAGGAAGATATAAAAAAGTGGAAGCACATACCTTGTTCATGGATTGGAAGAATTAACATCATTAAAATGTCCATACTACCCAAAGCAATCTATAGATTCAATGCAATCCCTATCAAAATACCAACGACATACTTCACAGAACTAGAACAAATACTTCAAAAGTTCATATGGAACAAAAAAAGATCACGAATAGCCACAGAAATCTTGAAGAAAAAGAACAAAGTTGGAGGGATCACATTACCAGATTTCAGGTAATACTATAAAGCCACTGTAATCAAAAAAGCATAAGATACTGGCATAAGAACAGGCATATAGACCAATGGAACAGAACAGAGAACCCAGAAATGGACGCAAGGCAATATGCTCATTAATATTTGACAAAGGTGGCAAGAGCATACAATGGAGTAAAGACAGCCTCTTTAATAAATGGTGTTGGTAAAATTGGACAGCTACATGCAAAAAAATGAAACTAGACCATCAACTTACACCATACACAAGAATAAACTCAAAATGGATAAAAGACTTAAAAATGTGACTCATGAATGCATAAAAATCGTAGAAGAAAATGTAGTCAACAAAATTTCAGACATCATACACAGCAGAATTTTCACTGATACATCACCTAAGGCAACAGAAACAAAGGAGAAAATGAACACAGGGGACTACATCAAACTCAAAAGCTTCTGCACAGCAAAAGATACAATCATCAAAATGGAAAGGCAACCCACTGTATGAACATCATTGCCAATGATATATCAGATAAGGAGTTAATTTCCAATATATTATAGTGTTCATATAACTCAACAAAAGGAAGACAAAGAACCTAATTAAAAAATGGGCAGAGGAACTAAATAGACACCTCTCCAAACAGGACATACAAATGGCCAAGAGACATATGAAGAAATGCTCAACATCACTGATCAGCAGAGAGATGCAAATTAAAACAACAATGAGGTATCACCTCACACCTGTCAGAACGGCCGCCATCAACAAATCATCAAACAAGTGTTGGCGAGGATGTGGAGAAAAGGGGACTCTAGTATACTGCTGGTGGGAATGCAGACCGGTGCAGCCACTATGGAAAACAATATGGTGTTACCTCAAAAAATTAAAAATTGAACTTCCATTTGACCCAGCGACCCCACTTCCAGGAATATACCCTAAGAAGCCTGAAACACCAATCAGAAAGAATATATGTACCCCCATCTTCATAGCAGCACTATTTACAATAGCTAAGATCTGGAAACAGCCCAAATGTCCATCAGTAGACGAATGGATAAAAAAGCTGTGGTACATATACACAATGGAGTACTATGCAGCTGTAAGAAAGAAAGATCTCTTATCCTTTGCTGCGACATGGAGGGACCTGGAAAGTATTATCCTAAGCGAAACAAGCCAAACAGAGAAAGACAAGTATCATATGATCTCCCTTATTTGTGGAATATAATGAAGATAACAGTCTGAGGAATAAGGTAGTCCCAAAGACGTGGAAGTGGGGTACAGACTTACAACCCCAGAAGAGGGAGTGGTGGGGGAGAGATAAACCACAGAACTTATATGCATGTATGCATGAACAATGGACATGGACAACAAAGCTGGGGATAGGTTGGGGAGGGTGGGGGAAAATGGAGAAACATCTGTTAACAAAAATAAATTAATTTAAATAATAATAAACAGTTTAAAAAAATGATTCCACAGTTATACATGTAATAATTGGTTAATAAAAGTTACTTTATTTACTTACGGGGCTTGAGTACGGGTAGTATATTCTTTGAATTCACTATCATGAATAGTGAAATAAGGTCGGAAGTCACTGAAGTACTTCAATGGAGAAATACAGCTATGGACCAAGAAGAACATGTAAAACTAAGGACACAGAAGTTAAAGGCCCTGTTCAATAACCATAAAACATCCATATACATAGTGTACCACAATAGTGTAAAGCATCTATTTAAATAAATGGCAAGCTCATTTCAGCAACTAGAAAGCAAATGAAAATACATAATGTGAAATGGCATACTGAAAGAACACTGGACTTGGGATTGAAGACAGGGTGAAATTCTGGTTTTTTACTATACGCTGCTCATTCACGCAACTAATACTTATCAGGTGCTAACTTCGTGTAAGTCAGCAATTTTCAACCCTTTTCATCTCATCACACACACACAAACTAATTACTAAAATTCTGAAGCATACTAAAAAATATATTTTTTGCTGACCTGACAACATAAAAAGGTATAATTTTTTTTCAAATTATAAGAGAAAATTTATTTAGAAAGTTGCAGAGGTAGTAGAAGTAAGCTAGCTGGGCTGTGTAGGCTCAGTTAACAAGTTATAGAAGCAAGAGAAGGGCCTTGAATCTTAGTAGAATGAAAGACAAAGGTACTGCACCTGGGGGGGGGCAGGGGGGAGAATAGGGGAAGGGCTGGGTGTGCTCCTTGGCTGTTGTAATTTTTTTATTTGACATTCTAAGGGTAAAGAGGTCAGTGCTCCTGACTAGTTAGGTATTGCATGTTTTAAAAATTCTTGCGGCATACCAGTTGAAAATCACTGGTGTAAGTAAATGAATGTGCTTGCTGCTCAGAAAAACAAGAACATGGTTCCAGCCCTCATGAAGCCTGAATTCATTTTCTCATCCATACATTGGTGCTATAATGAGCACTAACTTCCTAATGTGAATCAATGCAAGGAGTGTACAAACATAACAGATGAGAAAGTGCTGCAATTATCACTATTATGAATCAAATATACTCACTTAACAAGTGCCAATACAGTTTCTGAAGACTCTGAAGGTGATGGTGCCATGACCACCAGTGGCTCCCCCAATAGCACCAGCTCCCAAAGCATCTGACTATGAAAGAAAACTGGAAAGAAACACCTGAAAGGTGTTTACATAGTAGAAACATTGTTATTTATCCACCTTGTTAAAACTTCAACATTCTAAAAACTTCAACATTGAGCCCTGACGGGTGTGCTGAGCCTCCTCCAGTGCAACAAAAGGATGCCAGTTCAATTCCTAGTCAGGGCATATGCCCAAATTGTGGGCTCAATCCCCACTAAGGGGGCGTGCAGGAGGCAGCCAATCAATGTTATGCTCTCACATCGATGTTTCTTTCTCTCTCCCCCTTTCCCTTCCTCTCTAAAAAAAATAAAATAAAAATTAATAACATCTTTAAAAAAAAAAGAGCCTGAAACATCTTATACCAGAAAACAAGACAGTGTTTTTTGGTTTTTTTTCATCCTCACCTGAGGACATTTTTTCATTTTTTTGTTCAGATAGAGTGGGAGGGAGACAGAGAAAGAGAGAGAGAAACATTGACGTGAAAGGTACACATCGAGTGGCTGCCACCTGCACGACCCAACCAGGGCTGGGGACAAACTGCAACCAACAAGAGTGTTGAACGAATGACAAGAACATGTTGAAAAAAACAAGAGGCCAGATTGAAATAGTTCTCACTGGTCAAACTGGGGATAATCTGAAGATAAACCTAAACTGAGGGATTTCCTGCAAAATAACCATAATCCACAAGAATGTCAGGGTCACAAATGTGAAAGGCTGAGGAGCTATTCCAGACAAAAGGAGAGAGACTAGAGAGACAACAAGTAAATGCAACAGATAATTCTGAACTGAATATTATTGTGACAACTGGTGACATTTGAATGTGGTCTTAGTGTTAGATGATATTAATCTACCAGTGTTAACTTTCCAATTTTGATGGTTGCATTTTTGTAAGAAATAGACACTAAAGTACTCAGGTTTCCAACTTACTAGCAAATGGTTTAGGGAAAAGAGTTTTCTGTACTGTACCTGCCACATTTTTGTAATTGTGTGGCTATTTCAAGATTTTACAATTACATATATTTTATATATTATGTTACATATTTTATGTTACATACACATATACAAAATATATAAATATATAATACATATAAAAAGTTCAAATAATCACACATTTACAGAAACATGATAAGTACAGTACAGAAAACACATACATAATATATAAATATATCATATATATAAAATTTTGAATCACAAATGTACAAAAACATGATTAGTACTGTACAGTATATGTAATTTTAAATATATATTTAAAAAATTTTAAATACACACACACACACATACACACAGTTCTGTCCCTCAGTATTTATGAGAGATTGGTTCCAGGACCCCGGCAAATATTAAAATCCGCAGATGCTCAAGTCCACTATAAAAAATAGCATAGTATTGCATATAACCTATGCACATGCTCCCATATACTTTAAATTATCTCTAAATTACTTATACTACGTAAAATAATGTAAATGCCAGGTAAATAATAGTTACATTGTATTGTTTAGAGTTTAATGACAATAAAAATCTGTACATGTTCAGTATAGATAGATGCAACCATCATAGGCCTAACTACATAGTACTTATCAGCAAAACATAACTTAAAAAAAATACTTTCAATCCCCAGTTAGCAGACAGGGGCAGGGGGACACAATGACACATAATTTACATGCCTCTTGCTGTGCAAAGAACCAACAGTAAGTCAATAAAATGAGGTGAAATGTCTTTGACTCTAGGCAAGAGAATATCAGCTTCTTTCAATGGAAAACTGTCCTCCAATTCCAAGCCCAACTTAAAAACTAAATGAGAAGACTATTTCTGTCATCAACAGAGAGCTAAAACCGAAGGCATGGTCCCTGAAGTAGCAGTGGCTTAACAAGCCTTGCCCTGGTGAAAGGAGGGAAACTGGTCCCTACACTCAACTGTATCTCTGCCACTCAACTTCAAACATCTTTCCAGATCTGTCCTTTGCTCACAAGCTCAGTGTGGGTATAAAACTATCACTTTCAATATAACTGATAAACATTTAAACTCTCATTGACACTAGTAAGGTAAAGCGTTAGCTCTACATATCTGAAATAAAGAGTGCTGTCATAGATAAAGCATTAATCCAATCATCAGATATTAAATTCCTGGCACAGTACTATCTCTGTGTGAGGTTATTATTCTTCAAAGCTTGGTTTTCTTATCTCTTGAGAAACAGAACTGAAAGCACAACAAACTAACTTGTTCCTTAAAAACAATAACATGTAATCCATATTCAGGAGAAAGAACACATACTAATCAAAGGTGTCAGAGGTGGAAGTAATTAATTACCACAAAAGAAAAGATCATTAATAACAAACAAAAAAGCATACCTAGTAGTTCAAAAGAAAACATGTCAGGTAACCAAATTCTTTATTAACTTTGCCAGTTCTTCAATTTGTTCCTTAATATCAAAACTATAAATAGTATGTATCCCTCTTAGTATATGTTTCCTGTGATATATGTTTATTTGGGGGGCTTTTTACTTTATGTATGTATGTATGTATGTATGTATGTATGAATTTATTTATTTATGTATGTTTTGGGTACATACCCCTAGCAGGAACCGAACCTGGGACTCTCTGGTCCACAGGCCAATGCTCCAACTACTGAGCCAAACCGGCCAGGGCTACACTTACTTTTTGTTTTAAAGAAAATGAATTTAAGATTTATAATTTACGTACAATAAAATTCACCCTTACCAAAGATCCAGAATAGTTCCATCACCCCTCAAAATTTACTCATCCTCTTTGTAGTCCATTTCCCACCCCCACTCCCAGGAAATCACTGATCTAATTTTAGTTTGTCTTTTCCAGAATATTACATAAATGGAATCATTCAGTAAGTAGCTCTTTAAAATCTAGCTCCTTTCACTAAACATAAGGCTTCTGAGTCATTCATGTTGCAGACTGTATCAATAGTTCATTCTTTTTTTAAATTGCTGAATAGTATTTCATGCACATGCGTATATCTCATTTTGTTTGTCCATTTACCAGTGGATGGACATTTATATTGTGTCCAGTGTTAGGCTGGTATATAAAGCTGTTATAAACATTTGCATACAGATCCTTGTGTAGATACATGCTTTCATTTTTATTGGGTAAATACCTAGAAGTAGGATTACTGACCAGTGCTAGGGTCAATGTATAAAACAAATCTAACATATAAAACTAATCAATCTTGCCCAGGCCAGTCTGGCTCAGGGGTAGAGCGTTGGCCTGTGGACCAATGAGTCACAGGTTTGATTTCAGCCAAGGGCATGTACTCAGTTGCAGTTCATCCCAGGCCCTGGTTGGAGTCATGTGGGAGGCAACCAGTAGATGTGTCCCTCTCATGTCCATGTTTCTCTCTCTCTCCCTCCCACTCTATTTAAAGATAAATAAAAAAATATCCTCAGATGAGGATTAAAAAACAAAACTAATTGATCTTGCCCAGCCACTGTGGCTCAGTGGATTGAGTGTTGTCCCATGGACTGAGAGGTCCCAGTTCGATTCCTGGCCTGGGCACATGCCCAGGTTTTAGGCTTGATCCCCAGTACGGGGCATACAGGAAGCAGCCAAATTGATATTTCTCTCTCACATCGATGTTTCTCTCTCTCTCTTTCCCTTCCTTTCTCTCTAAAAAAAAATCAATATAAACATGTTTTTTTTTAAAAAACGAATTGATCTTTGAAGCAGTATTCCATGCAGTTTAAAGGTCACACACACACACTCACACACAAAAGCCACAAACACACAAAGAATCAAACCAAAACTCATTGTAAGTCTTTCATGTGACTCCTGATTATATGTATTAGTATTTAGTAATTGCTCATTTATAACAGTGGTTTCTCAAGCCGGGCTCCACATGAGAACCATCAAGAGGCGGAACTTGGGCACCAATCCAAAGTTTCTTACTTAGCTGCTCTGTGTAAAGTACATTGGTATTTTTTCCTTCTTTCTTTAAGTGCTAGATTATCTGGGGATTTTTTTTTTTTAATATTGCATTTTGAAAGTTTCAAACGTAGAGAAAAATAAAGACAATAGCATAAGAACCCCTTTATAAATATCATCTATTGTTAATAATATTTTGCCATTTTTACTTCATTTTTTTCTTATTGAAATGCTTTAAAATAAACACAAACCTCATGACATTTCACCTCAAACTACTTTAGAATGCATCTCTAAAAATATAAGAGCATTAAAAACATTTTTTTTAATCCTCACCCGAGGATATGTTATCACCTATCAGTTGCCTCCCATACGTGCCCCAATCTAGGATAAAACCCGCAACCTAGGTATATGCCCTGATGGAGAATTGAACCTACAACCTTTCAGTGTAAGGATGACACTCTAACCAACTGAGCCACACTACCTAGAGAATAAGTATATATTTTTATATCATTACAATATCATTCTCACAACAAACCAAAACAATTTGTTTCTACTACGTTATACACAATCCGTATAAAAATTTCCCTAACGGTCAAAGCTCGTAACATGCAGTCAGGGATGAACCACTGATTTATAACATAAAGCATGACTCTTTTCTTCCAGTTTTTTCTCTATTTCATATAAGAACATCCATTTTTCTAAAGGAACTAACAACATCACAAAGCAAAAGAGCAAAGACAGTTAAAATTTTTACTCTTTACCTGAAAAGATCCACCTCATGAACAGTAGGTAAAATAACAGATATGTGTGTGTCTGCCTAAGAGATAGAAAAGAAAAAATAAAGATGTCACTGAAATTTATAGAAATTGATTTTTAAGATATGCTTATTTAGCTCATGATCAATAAGCACACTGCCCTATCTTTTAAGATTCTCTTCCTCTAGGAAAAGCCACAGAGAGTGGGTCTTACCAATCTCCCCTAACACAGCATAAGATCAGGGAAACACAGATTACATGGTTAAAGCATTAATTCAATAGCTGGACTAATTCACAACTGTATAAAATACTACCAAAATACTGGTTGATATACATATCAGGCAAAATTAGGTTTCCTACTGCTTTCCATTTTTTTTCAATTCAAAGAACAATGGGAGTGCTTATGTACCAGTTAAAATGTTTCAAATGAAAAAATTTAACCGCACCCATAAACAGATGTAGCTTTAAGAAAAATGAATGGCAATCATAACTACAGAGTCTTTTTGACTGAGTTTCCTAAAACCAGAAGTCTGCTGACCACTCTTCAAGATAAGAGGCACCCTGGCCGGTTTGGCTCAGCGGTTAGAGCATCAGCCTGTTGTCCAGAGAGACCTGGGTTCAGTTCCCGCTAAGGGCATGTACCTCGAATGCAGTTTGTCCCCGGCCCTGGTTGGGTCCTGCGGGTGGCAGCCACTCGATGTGTACCTTTTATGTCGATGTTTCTCTCTCTCTCCCTCCCGCTCTATCTGAACAACAACAAAAAAAAAAGTCCTTGGGTGAGTATTAAAAAACAAAAAAAAGAAGAGGCACCCAGCTGGTGTGGCTCAGTGGACTGAGCGTCGGCCCATGAACTGAGAGGTCCCAGTTGGATTCCCAGTCAAGGCACAAACCCAGGTTTTGTGTTCTATCCCCTGTATGGGGATGTATCTCTCTCACATCAATGTTTCTATCTATCTGTCCCTTCCTCTCTCTCTAAAAAAAAAAAAAAATCCATAAAAAAACATATTTAAGAAGAGGCTTTGTTCGAATTAAATCTTGTTGAAAAAATGTTTACTTTCCCCTTATCCTCATAAATTACAGTATTAATTCTGAGTTCTAGATAGTATCTACCACAGAAAGAGCAAGAAAAATGTCTGAGAGCCCTGGCCAGTTTGGCTCAGCAGTAGAGCATCGGCCAGCAGACCAATGAGTCATGGGTTCGATTCTAGTCTGGGGCACGTACCTTGGTTGCACTCTGTCCCCGGCCCTGGTTGGGATATGTGGGAGGAAACCAGTCAATGTGTCCCTTTCACATCAATGTTTCTCTCTCTCCTTTTCTCTCCCTCTCTCCCTCCCTCCCACTCTATCTAAAGGTAAATAGAAAAAAAATATATCCTTGGGTGAGGATTATAAAAGACAAAAGAAAAATATCTGAGAAACATTAAAAAATTTATGTCAATTAATTACAAAATACTTAATAGGACATTTCAGTAATATTCAGAAATGTATCATAAACCCAGGAAACTACATTTGCTAGTTTTAAATTTCTGTTAAAGAGACTCTATGTGCCGGTTTATTCTATCATAGTAGCATACTACCTGCTCAGTTATTTGGGTTGTCCCAGGTTTGTCATGACATGTGGGAATCCGTACCTTAAAGAGAAAGAAGAAATTAACTTTGGTAACAAAAGAATGTTCTTTCTATAATTTGCCAGTCCCACCACAGGGGGATTAGAAGTGCTCTATCCTGCTGCTAAAAATGTATACTCAGCAATGCCTAAAAAGCCATACAAACAAAGTATTTATATTAGATTAACACACTATTTCAGTCATATTTATTTTCAGTCACAGAAGAAGGTAAGTGCACCAAGGTCTCCATACACCCATACACATAGAAGTCACTAAACCAGTGAGAAGCAAATGTGTTGAAAAACAGAAAAAGGACATCAACTTAATACTGCTTCCTATTTATTATTCCAATCTTTGCTTCATTAATATACATACACCCAAACACACCCTCTCAAACTTGCCAAACTATGGGATAAATCTCACAGGAAACCATGAGACCTCTCAACCTAGAGCTACAAGTACTACTTTTGATGATTGCCCAGGGAAAAAAACAAAACATAGTTACTACAGAAAAGAGCACATCTAAAGAGAGTGCATTGCCACATATAAGTCCAACATAAAAATGAACTGCAAAACCACTTAGTGCACATTCATACCAAGCCTGAAAGCAAAATGCTAATTCATTTTAAAAAAAGAAAACTTAATAGAGAACAATACCCTAAGATGGACATGTTTAGTCTGACATTATACATTAAGATCATTTAAGACTAAAAATCAATGGCTTTCCTAATTGCTTTTACTTTTTAGTAATTCATACCTAATCCTACAAATATTCTGCAATACAACTCATCTCTGGAGAGCCATGGAGTAGCAGAATTCTAGGTGGTATTTACATTGACATGTATTATGTAAGAATGACCCCCCCCTCATGCAAATTTTCCAAGATGATGGAACTGGTGGCCCTGGAGTTGTGTGACTAATGGTTCTGTGCAGCAGAATTCATTGTGGCATCTCTGTAACTCCTCACATAAGATAATAAAATAAAATAAACAAATGAAAGCAATAAGAAGACTGAATGTTATTAGGAAGTTAAAAAGCAAAACTCGCCTGGCTGGTGTGGCTCACTGGCTGGTGTGGCTCACTGGCTGAGTGTCAACCCATGCACCAAGAGGTGGCCAGTGCTATTCCCAGTCAGGGCACATGCCCTGGTTGTGGGCCAGATCCCCAGTGGGGGGCATGCAGGAGGCGGCTAAACGATGTTCTCTCTCATCGATGTGTCGTATCTCTCTCTCCCTCTCCCTTTCTCTCTCTCTAAAATCAATAAAGAAAAAAAATTGTTGACTTCTGGTCAAGATGGTGGCGTAGGTAAACAAGGTATCGCATCCTCCCACAACCACATCAAAGTTACAACTAAACTACAGAACAACCATCATTCAAAACTGCCTGAAATCAAGCTGAATGGAAGTCCTACAACTACAGAATTAAAGCAGCAGCCACGTCCAGACTAGTAGGAGGGGTGGAGGCGGACAGACTGGTCCCACACCCACGTGTGGTGGATGAAAATCAGGAGCCTACCTTGGCTGGGAAGATCCTTCCTGAGGACTGAGGGGTCCCCATCCCACACCAGGTGCCCCGTTCAGGGTTCCAGTGCCAGGAAGAGAAGTCCCCATAATTTCTGGCTGGAAAAACCAGCGGGAACTGAGGCTCAGGGAGGCTGAGGCGGCTGGAGCCCCAGGCAGCTCCTTAAAGGGCCCGCGCACGGACTTATCGGACTCTCTCCCTCTAAGCTTGGAGGGGAGGCAGCTCGAGGGGCGCCAGAGACATACAGGGAAGAACTGAGCTGTTTGCCACTGGAGCGAGGGCTGGAGAGGGGGCTTTCTCCGGGACAAAAGTGCTGTAGGAGGCCTTTGTTCCTTTGGTGAGCCCTTCCCTGGGGCGGCAGACAGTCGCCATATCTGGGACTCCAGCAACCTGGCTCACACTGGTAGCCCCGCCCTGCTGACTCCCTGAGACCCAGCCCTGCCCCACCCAACTTTCAAGCCCAACCAAGCTGTTGCCACTTGCTTAACCATAGGATTGGCCTGTCTTGGATCCTGCTTCAGGTTTTTCCTAAATTCTTTCAAACGAGCAGCATCTGGTCTCAGCCAGCCCCATACCTCTCATTAAGTAATACACTGAAACAAACACAGGGAGGCAGCCAAAATGAGGAGACAAAGAAACAGGTCCCAAATGAAAGAACAGAACAAAACCCCAAGAAAAGAACTAAGCAAAATGGAGATAAGCAACCTAACAGATACTGAGTTCAAAATACAGCTTATAAGAATGCTCAATGAACTTAGTGAGAACCTCAGTGAACTTAGGGAGGGCCTCAAGAGCATAAAAAAGGACCAGTCAGAAATCATGGATACACAGTCAGAAATGAAGGAGGCATTAACTGAAATAAAGAAACATTTACACAGATTCAATAATAGAGTACGTAAATCCAAGGAGCAAACCATCGATATGGAATATAAGGAAGCAAAAAATGCCCAATCAGAACAGCAAAAAGAAAAAAGAATCCAAAAAAATGAGGATAGGATAGCATAAGGAGCCTCTGGGACAACTTCAAGTGTGCCAACATTCACATCTTGGGGGTGCCAGAAGGAGAAGAGAGAGAACAAGAAATTGAAAACCTGTTTGAAACAATAATGGCAGAAAAATTTCCTTACTTGGTGAAGGAAGCAGACATACAAGTCCAGGAAGCACAGAGAGTCCCAAACAAGATGAACCCCAAGAGGTCCACACCAAGACACATCACCATCAAAATGCAAAAGGTTCAAGACAAAGAGAGAATCTTAAAAGCAGCAAGAGAAAGGCAGCTAGTTACCTACAAGGGAGTTCCCATTAGGCTGTCAGCTGATTTCTCAAAAGAAACTTTGCAGGCCAGAAGGGAGTGGCAAGAAATATTCAGAGTGATGAAAAGCAAGAACCTACAACCAAGATTACTCTATCCTGCAAAGCTGTCATTTAGAATCGATGGCCATATAAAAACTTTTCCAGACAAGAAAAAGTTAAAGGAGTTCATCACCACCAAACCATTATTATATGAAATGATGAAGGGTCTTTTTGAAGAAAAAGATAAAATATATGAACAAACAAAATGGCAATGAATACATATCTATCAACAATGGAATCTACAAACAAAATGAACAGGTAGAACAGAAACATTCTCATAGATACAGAGAACATTTTGTTGGTTGCCAGATGGGAGGTGGGTTGGGCGAATGGGTGAAAAAGGTGAAGAGATTAAGAAGTACAAATTCGTTGCTAGACTGGCAAACCTCAAAGGGAAAGGGGTTGGGGGGGTGGGAAGAAATAAACCAAAGAACTTATATGCATAACCAATGGACACAGACAATAGTGTGGGAAAAGGTGGGAGAGGGGGAGGTAGTGGGGAGGAGGGGGTCAATGGGGGAAAAATGTGGAATGTCTGTAATACATTTTACATCCAACAATAAAGATTTTTTTTAAAAAAGAAGACATCGAATAAATTCCACAGAAATAACAAAAAAAAGAAAAAAAATTTTTTTAAAAAAAGCAAAACTCATGTGTGGATGTCTTACAGATCTTTTAAAAAGTTAACAAATAAAATATAAGCTATTACCTTCATTACCACTCCCATAATAGGGAGGTATAATGTTTTCCCTGGGACTGGTGCAGGCCATCGATCAACATCATTACAAGCTGAAAAAACATAATAAAATTCTTCCTTAGTATAAGTGGAGATATTAAAATATGAAAAATAGCATATTAGAAATTAGAACTCTACTTTCTATAAAGCAGGACAAATATACTGGGAAAAATGCAAGATAAAAGATAGAAGTAAAAGTAGTGAAAATATCTTACATTTCACCAGAAATACACCTGTTCTAAAATAAAATTGGTTAAATATTTTTTAAAGCAACAAAATAGTAAGTTTAAAAAGAATTTTTCTATTCCTTTATTACTACTAATTAGCTACAAAAGCACACCACCTGGCAGAGGCCTTCTCTCTGTATCGAGTGACATAAGAATTTCTGTTTAACAGTAATGATTATCAGAACTGTCACTTCAATATTTCGTTATTATTACCCCATGGTACAAAAGGAGATAATAAATGATACAGTCTTTGGTGTTTCTAGGTAAAGAATACCAGAAGAATAGTTTCTTTTGTTCTGTTTTTTTCATAATTTTTTTTTCTTTATTGATTTTAGAGAGAGAGGAAGGGAGAGGAAGAGAGAAACATCGATGAAAGAGAACATCGACTGGCCACCTCCTGCATGCCCCACACTGGGGATCTGGCCCACAGCCTCGGCATGTGCCCTGGCCAGGAATCAAACCGGTGACCACTTGGTGCATGGGTTGATGCTCAACCACTGAGCCACACCAGAAGAACAGTATTAACATCTCTCTCCCACCATAAAATTCTTAAATAATTTTTTAGAAGATTGACTTCATTTTATCAGATCATTTCCTGCAAAATTAAAAAAAAATTTTCCTTCATAAAGCTACTAAGTCACACAATGTTTAACTTACCTGCTTCCAGATAAGGTTTGCTCTTTTCAAAATACTCTGGTGCTATCTGTTTGAGTACAGTGTGAAAAAAATGAATATAAGGTAGTTTGCTGATCAAAACCAAGGACTGGAGGGAAAAAAGAAACAACGTATTATTAAAAATTTCCTAACAATTTAAGTTTGTCATTTCTCACATAATCAATTACTAACAAGCTAAATTTAGCAAAAAGGGTGGATTTTGAAGTAAAAAGGCTTTTACAGTAGATGGTTAAAAGGAAATATAAAATTATAATTGCAGAATGCAGAACATTTAACCTTATTACTACACTTGAAGAACATAAAAAGCATATTCACACATTTTCCTTCTTTCCACGAAAAAGAATTTCCTATAACCAGACTAACATCATGGATAATTTCCAAAGCCTAGCTACTACTGTCATTAGCAAAACAGTATCAGAAATTAGCTAGATAAATTCTTCCTAATAAGGAAAGAGCAAATTGTGATACTTTTTCAAACTAAGACTATTCTATTTTTTTAACTGAATTTATTGGAGTGACACTGGTTAATAAAATTACATGGGTTTCAGGGGCACAATTCTATAATACATCATTTGTATATTGTATTGTGTGCTCACCACCCAATTCAAGTTTCCTTCCATCACTATTTATCCACCCTTTATCCTCTCCTACCTCCTCCCAATATTTTAGAGTTCAATGGTTATAGTCACATACTTATAAATTGTGACTTTATAGTTTAATCACTTCAAATATAGATTATGTTGATTTTTCTTTTTTTTAACTTCTTTTTTTTTATTCTCACCCGAGGACATTTTTCCATTTTTTATTCAGATAGAGTGGGAGGGATAGAGAGGAAGAGAGAGATAAACATCGATGTGAAAGGGACACACATTGAGTGGCCACCACCCGCATGACCCAACCAGGGCCGGGGACAAAGTGCAACCAAAGTACATGCCCTTAGTGGGAACCGAACCTGGGTCTCTCTGGACTGCAGGCTGACACTCTAACCTCTGAGCCAAACTGGCCAGGGTGTGAACTTATTTTTTAAGTCTATTTTTCTTGAAAACTATTTTTTACCTTTCCAACCAGCATTAATTACTGGTCAAGGCATATTCTAATTACAAAAGGTAAAGGTGTGTCCCATTAGCTAGGACTGACTTGAAATCAACTGATTTTTTTTTTTTTAAGTAAAAGATTGTACATTTAGAGTAAAACTATGTCTAAGATGTTGCTAAAGTATATTTATTGACTCTTCAAAGAAGGATATTGCAGGCTTTTATTAGTTGTAACTATGTTATAATCTGTTTATTCTTTCCCTTATTCTAAAATATAAAAATTAGCCCTGGCCGGTTTGGCTCAGCAGTTAGAGCGTCGGCCTGCGGTCCCGAGAGACCCGGGTTTGGTTCCCGCTAAGGGCATGTACCTTGGTTGCAGTTTGTCCCCGGTCCTGGTCGGTCGTGCGGGTGGCAGCCACTCGATGTGTCCCTTTCACATCGATGTTTCTCTCTCTCTCTCTCTTCCTCTCTCTCCCTCCCACTCTACCTGAACAATAAATGTCCTCGGGTGAGGATAAAAAAATAAAATATAAAAATTAAGCAGATTCTTCTAACTTTTGACAGTTTCATAAAAAACTGTAAATTATTGTCAGGAGTATAGTACAGATACAGCAGAAAGGTAAAATTCAATAGCAGGTGAACGTCTAGGAACAGGGTCTATAATCTAAAAAAAAAGATAAAATATAAATTCTACTATGTTTAAAAATAAAATATCAAAGACTTTAAAGACTTCATTTTAACAGTGTCTATCTTTCTAACCACATTATAAAAATATATTTCTATTATAGTGTAGATAAAAATTACCTTCTGAAAGTAGCCTCTCTTTAGAGTTTTGTCTCGAACTTGTCGGAAATACACATATCCATAAAAATAAGCAGGATCCTTCTATGAAAGAAGTGACAAAAAAAAAAATAACTACGTGTGTGTGTGTATCTCACCATCCTTTATTATTATCAGGTTCTTTTATAAACCTTAATGGAGTGATGGGGTATATATACACAAAGAGCTAGTCATGCTTTTCCACCAACACAACCAATAATCATGACAGTAATAAATAAAAACCTGCTAACTTGCCCAGAGATAAAATTATCATTACTAACATCATATTTTCCCCCTATAACTTCCTCTGTTTATATTCTTTTTTTCAATTCTCACCCAAGAATATTTTCCATTGATATTTTTTAGCTAGAAGTGGAAGGGAGGGAGAGGGAGAGACAGAGAGAGAAGCATCAATGTGAGAGAGACACACCAATTGGTTGCGTCCCACTCGACCCTAACCAGGGCTGGGGATTGAACCTGCAACCCAAGTACATACCCTTGTCCAAGGGCCAACATTCCAGCTGCTAAGCCAAACCAGCCAGGGCTCTGTTTATATTCTTTATTCATAGCTGTACTAGTTAAAGGGAGTTATGAAACAATCAAATTGCTTTCCCCAATGCTATACATACTTTTGTTTTTTTTTAAATCCTGCCTACACTTTTGTTAGGGTCAGTCTTTTTTTTTAAAATATTTTTTCTTTATTGATTTGAGAGAGAGAAGGGAGAGGAAGAGACAGAAACATCGATGAGAGAGAACATCTATTGGCTGTCTCCTGCATGCCCCACACTGGGGGCTGGGCCCACAACCTGGCATGTGCCCTGACCAGGGATCAAACTGGCGGCCTCTTGGTGCATGGGTTGATGCTCAACCGCTGAAACACATTGGCCAGGCTAGGGGGTCAGTCTTAAGAAAATGAGGAATCCTAATGTAAAATTTCAAGAGAGAAAACAAATGGAGTTAAATGTCAATCTGAATTGTATGTAGTCAGTTGTATTTTTACCCAATAATAATGAAACATTGGAATATTCATCAACGATCAATTTGCAGGGTAATTATATTCCAAAAAACTTAAGAAATTGATTTCAGATAAAGGAAGAAGGAGAGAGATGGAAACATTGATGAGAGAGAAGCATCCATCAGCTGCCTTCTGAACACCCCCTACTGGGATCGAGTCTACAACCTGGGCATGTGTCGACCAGGAATAGAACCAGTGACCTCCTGGAGCACTGGACGATGCTCAACCAACTGAGCCACATGGGCCAGGCAAAAGTTTCAACATCCCAATGAAATAAATTTTGGCCTCGTTCCTTATTTGTTATTTTTTAAATACTTATGGACCACTTACTTTGAACAAGGCATTGTGTTAGAGAAGATAAAAAGATGCATAAGACACAGTTCCTTAAGGAGATCACAATCTAAGAGAAATAAGAAAAGCACAAAACTGACCATTATGGAATAGGAAGGCAGGTACCATAAAGAAAGCACAAAGTGTTATAAACAGGCCAAGGAGGAAGAGATTATCTCTATGTAGATCAGCCAAGATTTCATGGAGACAGCTAGCTTTGAATTGGGCATTGAAGGATGGATATGATTTAAACAAAAACAAAGACGTTTCAGGTTTAGAGGGCCAGGAGTTTCAGTAAAAACACACACAGAAAAATACAAGCTATTCAAAAAAAAAAAGCAAGATAAAAGCAGTTCATTTGGGCTAAAATAGGGCACATGTATAGAAAGGGTATGAAGTTGGAAACTGGAAAGGTAAAGGCCTTAATTCGCAAGGCCCTAAAAGAGAGGACAGGAAAATAGTACTACCATTAGCTCTTTATTTTCATTAAACAATAGGTAGTCATTTTAGATGATATATATGTACACTTTAGCTGGCAATACTGTGTAGGATATATTGCATTAAAATGTCTATGGGTAGCCCTGGCCAGTTTGGCTCAGCAGTTGGAGCATTGGCCCACGGACCACAGAGTCCTAGGTTCAGTTCCCACTAGGGGCACGTGCCTCAGTTGCGGTTTATCCCTGGCCCCAGTTGGGGTCGTTTGGGTGGTGACTACTCAATGTGTCTCTCTCGCATCAGTGTTTCTCTCTCTCACTTCCTCCCTCTCTCCCTCCCGCTCTGTCTGAAGATGGTTGCAAAAACGTCCTTGGGTGAGGATAAAAAAATAAATAAACTAAAATAAAATGTCTATGGGCAAATTTCATATCCTCAATACCCCTTAATTCCCTCATCTTCTAAAGGAATGCTCTCAGAACACTATAGAGAAGATTAATGAGATAGTATATGCTTATTGATACAATGTCTAGAACATAAGAAAGTCTAATAAATGTAGTGATTATTATCATCAGTTGAAAGAATATATTAATAGTGATAGCAAAACATCATGGAAAGGAGTAGATGGCTATCAGAGACATTTCAAAGATACTACCTTTGCTAACTGGGAGAGAGTTCCTATCATTAGTGGAACCAGGTCGGTAAACTGTAAATGCTAATTTTAGGCAAACTATATCAAGTTCATATTGGATGTGATGATAGGACATTCAGATGGAAATGTTCCTCATGCAGTTAGAGATGTAAGTGTGTAGTACAAAACAGAAACTTACACTCTGGAATCATAAGAATTATTAAAATTATTTTTAATAAACAACTTTAAAACAAAGCTCATTTAAAAAGATAAGAATAATTCTATCATAAAGTAGGTACAGAATACCATAGGGAGCCCTGGCCGGTTTGGCTCAGTGGCTGGAGCGTCCGCATGCGGTCTGGAGAATACCACAGGGAATCTTCAACTCTGGTGGTTTTTACTGGTATAATACTACCCTACCTCCATATCTAAACAAGGAGTTATTGTCCCAGCCAGGTGGCTCAGTTGGTTAGAGCATCATCCCATGCACCAAAAGGGTTGTGGGTTCAGTTCCCAGTCAGGGCAATTACCTAGGTTGTAGGTTCAGTTCCTGGTCAGGGTATATGCCTAGATTGTGGGTTTAATCAATTCCCAGGTTAGAATGCATATGGGAGGCAACCAATAGATGTTTCTCTCTCACATCAATGCCCTACCCCCCAATTCCTTTCTCTAAAAATCAATGAACATTTCCTCGGGTGAGGATTAAAAATAAGAATGATAAAAATAAAAAACAGGGAGTTATCAAAAAATGAAAGAAAACTACTTCAGCATTCTAATCAACATTTCAAGAACAGTAACTTATTAAGTCTCTTTCACTTACATACTAAATCTTTATGAATAAGACTCAGGAAATTCAGCAGTGTGATATAATAACAAAACAAAAGCAAAATATTTATGAATGCTGTAAAAAGTAACTGAGAGAGTTTTAAAGTTTCCTCTCACATGGACAGTCTTCTACTACTACTTTTCCAACCTTTAAGTAAACGGGTAAATCTTTGTCAAACTGATCCAGGAAACAATGCAGTGACACCCTCCTCCCAGAAGACTGTCGAAATCTAAAACAAAACTGGGTATCTCCAAGACAACCTAATGAAAACAAAAATGAAAGAAATTAAGGGTAGCATAGTATAACACTTATTTATCCAGTTTCATCAAATGTTAGAGTGGCAGGGGTCCTAGCAATCATTTAAATTCATTCTATCATGTTTTAGAGAAGAAAAAGGAGATCTTGGGAGTTCAAGTGACTTGCTCAAAGCCATCTTCATTGGTCAAAGGCAAAGCCATTAGTGAAACATGCATCTTAACTCCGAAGTCCCTCTATTATTGTTGCTATTCAATTTTCTCCATGTAATTAAATGTTTTGAAAACTGTTTCCATGTAATGCAGATTCACAAGCATAATAATGAGCAAAAGAAGCCAAATACGAAGTAACACATACTGTTCAAATCCATTTATATAGTTGTTAAAAAAAAAAAAAAAGCAGCCCTGGCCGGATTGGCTCAGCAGTTAGAGAGTTGGCCTGCGGACCAGAGAGTCCCGGGTTTGGTTCCCGCTAGGGGCATGTACCAAAAAAAAAATTAAAAACCAGGCAAAAGTATAGTGTTCAGGGATGCATGGGTGGGCATATAAAGAATCAAGAAACGTATTACTTTAAGAATTAGGGTAGTGGTTACATTTGAAGGGGGAGGGAAATAGTATTTGGGAAGAGACATGAGGGGGTTTTTGAGGTACTGGCCAAGTTGTATTCCTTGACCTTGTATATGTTTTATATTTCACATTAAGATTTAAAAAAAAAAAAAAAGATATAATAAAGTCAACTCAGGAAGAGCTCAAGTAATAAATTTACTATTTTAATTAAAAATAACTTTTTAACTTTAACAATCTTTTAACCTTTAATCATTTTAGCAAACCTCTTAAAACATGTAAAGTTCACCTAAACTGTCAGGCAATAATTACAAAAAACTGAATACTCTAAAAAGCAAAAGACACATAAGTAGCTTGTCACTCAAATTTTTACCAGTTACTATATTTAAAATTAATAAGATTATATTAAATATAAAATGTGCTCAGAATTTTATTATTACTTATTATTATGCACAGTTTGGCACACGAAGTTCTCAACAAAGGAAGCAGAAATGTGGTAATATGTTTAAGGTGTTTTTTTTAAGAAAATAGATTTTATTATAATTTCTTATAAAGTTAAAAATAGAGGCAGATCCCTCTAAATAAAGAATTGTAAAACAAAGTGCCATTCCATTAAAAATCAAATCATCTAAAACATTTAATAATTTAAGATAACAAATAGGATCCTCAAATAGCATTCCAGCTTCTAACATGCAATCCTCCTACAGTCACGGCTTTAGGTATTATATCAGTTTCTGAATTCTCAGGTAGAAAAAGATGAGCCATGTGATTTTTTTAAAATAGCAAAACTGCCCTGGCCGGTTTGGCTCAGCGGTTAGAGCGTCGGCCTGCGGTCTCGAGAGACCCGGGTTCGGTTCCTGCTAAGGGCACGTACCTCGGTTGCAGTTTGTCCCCAGCTCTGGTCAGTTGTGCGGGTGGCAGCCACTCGATGTGTCCCTTCACGTCGATGTTTCTCTCTCTCTCTGTTCCTCTCTCCCCCTCCTACTCTACCTGAACAAAAAAAAAAAAAAAAAAAATGGAAAAATGTCCTCGGGTGAGGATAAAAAAAAAAAAAAAAAGCATAAAATAGCAAAACTGATCATTGCTCTTAACTTTCTGGTTGATTGTCTCTTAAGTTTGCTATTCCTGATCTTTTTTTTGAGGGGGGACCTTGTTATTTGCATCATTTCCTATGCTTACTCTTACAGGAGCTGGATGGTGGGGGACAGCACAGGGCATAGGTATTGAAACTTTAAAAGTGTAGAACATTGACATAAAGATTTCAGATACAGAAAGGAGATGATCCCCAGAACCTCAATGTTACAACCAGTGGGATAATATAAAACTCATAAAATCCTTGATATACCAAGGTTACTGGACACTGATCTCCCAGAAACACTTCTTCAGGGGCCACAGGTATATCATTATCAACTGCAGTTGTGAACTGCAGTTGACTTTACTGTGACCAGGAACAGAAAGGGGCTGCATCGTACATGCAATGGTTGTTCTCCAGAGCAAGTCCAAATCAGAGAAAAAAGGAGGTGCAGCCCTTCTAACACCAGAAAAACCTTCATCTGGCCAGAGCCCCAATATGTTTAAATTTTCTAAAAAGCAACTCAGTACCCTGGTCAGTGTGGCTCAGGTGGTTGGAGTGCTGTCCTGTATACCAAAACATTGTGGGTTAGATTCCGGCTCAGGATACATACCTAGGTTTCTGATTTAATCTTTGGTTGGGGTGCGTACAGAAGGCAATTGATCAATTTTTCTCTTTCTCTCTAAAATCAATATGTATGTCCTTGGATGCTTTTTTTTTTTTTTTTTTTTAAAGCAACTTAGTATGTACCCCTAAATGCAATTATAGAAATTAATATTTATAATATTTCTTTGGTGGTGGAGAGAAGAAACAAAGGGAACTAGAGGGTGGGTTCATTCAGTTTCTTTACTTTTTAAAGCTGATGGTTTAAAAATAAGGAAAACAACTGAAACCTGAGAAAATGGAAAATACTTCTAACATTATTTTAGTTCAAAAGATTTACATACTGATGGTTCAGTTTTTCTTTTTATAAGACATTTATCTTAAAAAAAAAAAAAAAGGAAAGAAAAATCCACTGAGAAATATGCACTAATTTCTCTGAGACCTTAATAAGATAGAAATGGAAAATGTAATGGCTTTTAAGAAAGAGATATAGTATCTGGAAAATGTAATAAATGCTAAGCTTTGTAGAAGGGAGGGCATGAAGCTCTCACAGACCTTAAATCCCTACCCACCTAGCTCCATTCCCAAATCATGGGTGTGTTGTGAGAACTTTCCAGGGACTAGCTGCACCCACAAGCTGTACAGAATTGATCAGGGAGCTAGTTTACCAAGTCAAAAAGGCTTTAATAGTGTCCCTGTGAACTGAGGTAAATGATTCCTATTTTATGTTTCAGAGATCGGTCCATTCACATATGAAAGGTTACTGAAGAAATATCAACTCAATCTGGTTTTGTTGAGAACCTTTGTTCTCCATCCTGACCTAACCTAGCATCATAGAAAAGGAGGCATTACAGATTGGCAACCCGATTTTTCACATTTGCCTTGCAGAAAATAATACCTTAGAAAGAGTAGAACAATCCTAATACCCTACAACCTCATCAAAATTAAATCTATATTGTCAGTATGACCCATTCAGTTTATCTATGTAACAAGAGACTGCAGTTCTACATTAGCAACATAATGATTACAAGTGAAAGATGGTTAAATTAGTGTGATCATGAGGAAAAAGTTGATCTGAAGAAAAAGAAGCTACAATCAATGGGATCTAGTCATAGGTCCATCAATAATTAGCCTTCCAGAAGTCACTTAACCTAAGGTTCTCAATTTCCTTAACAAAAGTAAGGTGTATCATAAGATAGTCACTTAAAGTCACTTCCAGCAGTTATAATCAATGATTCTAAAATAAAAGTCCACAACAGACCTATGACAGTACTAAAGTTCAAGCATCAAGAATCTTACCCAATATATTCACTACGAAAAGGAAAGATCTACAAAGCTCCAAATAGATCTAAAAGTTATGCTGTGTCTGTGACAGCTTTCTGATTATAGCATAAAAGTGGAAAAACATATTAATGAAAATCAATTTTTTCTTTATGTTAACCAAGGTATAAATTAATTTACACAAAATTTTAAAGTAAATGACAGCTCTCTAAGGAAAATACACCTTAACGTGAGTTCTTTTTAAAAAATATCTTTTTATTGATTTTTGAGAGGAAGGAAGAGAGACAGAGAGGGAGAAATATTGATGTTAGAGATAAACGTCAATCGGCTGCCTCCTGCACGCCCCCTACTGGGAACTGAGCCTGCAAACCAGACATGTGCCCAGACTGGGAATCGAACTGGCAACCACTTGGTGCATGGGACTGTGGCTCAAACAACTGAGCAACATAAACTCTTACCCATTATAAGTACCAAGTGTTAAGGAAACAGCAAATCTGCCCTTTAAGACCCCACAGCTCTAGGAAAAACTCCATTTTAATTAATCTAACAATCTTTATTAGCCTAGAAAACTGAATAATCTGACACTCTTTAAACCGAAAAAATTTCTGTAACATTTCCCCACCACCCTTTTCCAAATAATTAAATTCTCTCTCTCTCTCTTTTTTTTAATCCTCACCTGAGGATATTTTTTACATTTATCTTCAGACAGAGTGAAAAGAAGGGAGGGAGGGAGAAGGGGAGAGGGAGGGAGGGAGGGAGAGAGAGAGAGAGAGAGAGAGAGAGAGAGAGAGAGAGAGAAACATCCACGTGAGAGAGACACATCAATTGGTTGCCACCCATACAACCCCAACCGGGGCTGGGAATGAACTGCAACCGAGGTCCATGCCCATGGTCAGAATTGAACCTGGGACTCTTTGGTCCACAGGCTGACACTCTAACCACTAAGCAAAACTGGCCAGGGCACTAAATTCTTATAACAGAAATCAAATAGAATTCTGGGTCAAAATTATTTTCATTATTTTGTCACTACTGCAGAAGTAACCTTTTCCCTTCTAATATATGAACTAAGCACTAATATTCATTGAGTGCTTACACCATGCCAGGCACTGTTCTAAATGCTTTAGATATATTAACTCATTTGGTCTTCATGCTTCTCAGATAGGTCTCATTATTTCTCCTATTTATGTGGAGTAAACCAAAACAGAGAAAGATCATGTAATCATCAAAAGAAATAAATCTGCTAAATGGCAGAGCAAGAATTTAAACCCAAGAAGTCTAACTCGGGAGCTCTTGACCAGTACTACATTGTACTAGCAATTTCAAGTCAAATGGACTTCAAAATACTACTTCCATTTATATTAAATATCCAGAAAAGGTAAATCCATAGAAATAAAAAAAAGATAGGCGGTTGCCTAGGGCTGGGGTGGAAGGTTGGGGGGGGGGGGGGGATAGAGCATGGAGTTTCTTTTTGGATGATGAATATTTTCTAAAATTTGTAGTGATAGCTGCATGATTCTGTGAATATACTAAAAATCATTGAATTATACAGTTTACATGGGCAAATTGTATCTCAATAAAAAAAATTTTAATGCTACTCCCCTGCCAATTGGAGAGATTAAAAGCTTCTTTTCTTCACTAAAAAAAAAAACAAAACCTTCTGAAAAATGCCTCTCAGATCACAGAGTTCTTAAACTCACTGGTCTCTGTGCAACACAGTTCATTCAAGCAAGCTGCCCATCCTTTCAGTCATGGCGCCTCCTATACAAATGTTGTGTGCTATATGCCAGAAGAGCTCTCCTCCCATTTTAAAATTTCAAGGGCAAAGCCCTGGCTATTGTTGTTCAGTGGTTAGAGCATCGGCCTGCACACCAAAGGGTTAAGGGTTCAATTCCTGGTTAAGGGCATGTACCTGGGTTGTAGGTTCTATTCCTGATCCTGGTCTTACAGGAGGCAACCAATCGATGTGTCTCTCTCACATCGATGTTTCTCTCCCTCTCCCACCTCCCTCACCCTCCCTTCCATTCTCTCTCTAAAAATCAATGGAAAAAATATCCTCGAGTCAGGAATATAAAGTAAAATAAAATATCAAGGGCACAGAAACTTTTGCAAGTTTCTTTTACATCTGCCAATTACACCAAAACTGCAAAGCTAAAGGTAAACACATTTCCTATACCTAAAACATCATTTAGAGATTTGGGAAAACAGCTTAAATATTTTTCCTAAAGGGAACAGATGACTTTAAAGATTATTTGTATATTAGCACAAATATAGCTATAGAGCAGATCAGGATGCAGATGAAGATAAAACATGAGACTTCAAGACCTAGCCCTATCCTTGACCTTCAGCTCTATCCAGTCACTCTCTCTGGAATTAAAGTGGTTGAGTTGGAATTGCTGAGAAGTGGGACTTCTGACCAGGGCTTCTCAAAATGTAGTCCACAGACTGATGCCAGTCGACAAAGCTTGTTACTGATCCATGATGAAATAAACATCCAAACTGAGAATAAGCATTTAGAAACTCATACAGCAAGATATTGTCATGACAAATCTGGACTTTTGTTTTGCTTTTTTGTTATTTCTAGCTTCATTTTTCTAAAAATTCCTTTAAACTATATTTTATAGAAACATCGGTCCACAAGACTGGAAATTTTTTAAAAACCCAACTGGTCTTTCAACACAGATATTGTGAGAAATACTGCTTTTGGGACTGGGAAATGTAAAGTATATGACAATGTCCTTGCTATTTACAGAGAAGAAATCTGTTGAGACAAATATTGTCTGCACATCTAATCCATCCAGAGCAAAGATTAATCTTTCTCTTGAATTCATAATTATTTTAAACTTTCTCTACTAATGCTGAGTTTTCTCTCTGGACATTTTTCAAATATAAAGGTTATAGTCATTATCTACCCTCACAGCTTAAGCCTCAGGAACACCTATATCTAGATGATGTTAATGATAAACAATAAGGAGAAAAAAATCTGACAAATATTTATCAAAGAGTTGGCATACTTTAAACTTGGGCTCCTAAAGATAAAAGCCATTCAAATGGAAAAAGAAACCAAAACCCAAAAACAAACCAAAATCTAGGGTGTGTTGGGGGTAAGGGGTGAAGGAGGTAGAGGACTGGCAAATCATTCTACTGGAAATCCCCAAAGCATTCTTCTTACCTGTATAGCATACCAGAGTCTAAATGTTGTTTTACTTTTTAAAAGTGTGCACCATGGAGCCCTGGTCAGATGACTCAGTTTGGTTGGAGCATCATCCTGTACACCAAAAAGCTGCAGGTTCACTTCCCAGTCAGGGCGAGTAGGGGAGGCAACCAATCAATGTTTCTCTTACATCCATGTTACTCTCTCTCTCCCTCCCTCTCCCTTCCTCTCTTTCTAAAATCTATAAAAACATATCCTTGGGTGAGGTTTAAAAAAAAAAGTGTGCACCATGGAAACAAAACCTAGGCTTTCTTAAAGACTGCTCTACTGTGCAGTATATTTCCTTCCATAACAATAAAAGCTATTTCAGGAAAAATTAAATCCATTTCAAAGTTTGCACAGTAATCCCAACTTCCATTTAATAAAACACTTAAGTGAAACAAACTCTTTGGGTAATTACAACTAAAATCAGTGATCTCAAATACATACAAAACTCAGTCTCTTGCTGTCTAGATTAATATTCATCTGTTAAAAGGGTAAGGTATCTGTTTTTAAGATTTTCTGTCAAATTTTACTTCTAAGTACCATACTTTGAATAAAATAAACCATACTTCATTTAATGTAGAGCTTATAAAAAAAGCATTACAAAACATCTGTAGGTCACTCAAATGCCTGAAATACTGATCAAATTCTGAGTCACACAAATTTACACTCGAGTTTAATTGCCAATAAGAAAATGACACATGGAAAGACTAACTACAAAACTAGAAATGAAAAGGCTATCTGAACACCATATAATTAACTTGATGCTCATCTGTAGAGAAAGAAAGCCATGGAAACCAACTATTATCTGAAAGAAAAGAATGTGCAGTAGAATCTGCTGGAACTTCAATCACATAATCATCTCAACCTGCAATCCATACAATTCAGCTTACCCCGAGTCCTGGAAGTCCAATCCAACATTCACTACATTCAGAACTGTATATGTGGACTTTGTAGGCAAAACATAACAAAAGATTCCAATAATTCCAAGTCAGAACAAATGCCCTACTGGGATCTCTCAAAGGCATCTTTTAATTTAATTAAATTTTATTTTTTACCAAGATAGCACTTCTTTTTCACACATGTCATGAAAGCTGAGTTCCAAATGTATAGAGAAAAATTCTAGAAGCATTTATAAGAAAAGGAAAAATATGCTTTAAAAAAATTAAAATGTCAAATCTCCCAAATCAGATTAAACTAAATTAACAGAATAGTAGTAACCTCAGAAGGAAAGGGAACCAAAGGTGTCTGCTTCATAGGGTTCTAACTGTGTGTGGTCTAAGAAGTTGAATGCTCTGGTCACTATAAGCCTGAAAAACATTTAAAAGTGAAACACAAAAGGGAACCTGGAAGTTTCAACAATTAGGACCACACAAAGGGAAAGTTTGAAAGAGATCAGCAAAATCAAGTTAAAATAACAAACACTTATATGGTGTTTTCTATGCACCAAACACTAGTCCAAGTATTTTCCATATATTAACTCATATAAATTATTGAAAATAATTAATGGTCATACTTTATAACCAGATTTACTCTGTTGCTGCTGAGTGCGTTTTTTTTAAATAAATGTTTTTATTGATATTTTAGAGCAAGAGGAAGGGAGAGAGAGAGATAGAAACATCAATGTGAGAGAGAAGCATCCATCAGCTGCCTCCTGCACACCCCCTACTGGGGACTGAGCCTGAAACCTGGGCATGTGCCCCGACTGGGAATGGAACCTAGACCTCCGAGTCCATAGGACGCTCAGTCCACTGAGCCACACCGGCCGGGCAACTGTGTTGTTTTTGTTTGTTGTTTGTTTGTTTTTGACATTTTGTTCAGATAGAGTGGGAAGGAGAAAGAGAGAGAGAGAAACATCGACGTGAAAGGGACACATCGAGTGGTTGCCACCCACACGACACAACCAGGGCCATGGACAAACTGTAACCAAGGTACAGGTCTTAGCAGGAACCGAACCCGGGTCTCTCTGGACCGCAGGCCGATACTCTAAACGCTGAGCCAAACCGGCCAGGGCCAACCGTGTTTTTTAAAATTCACTGCTTTTACAGAGTTCTTGGCAAGCTCTCAAATCCTACATTAGAAGTAAACTACTTACTATAAATCCCTAAACAAAAAAATAAAACACAACAAAAAATCCCAAACATACCGATATTGCTGATTTTCAATCTCTTCACTATTTCAACAATTTATTGCTCCTTGATGTTTTACCTCATTACAATATAACAGTTATTTTAAAAGTTGAACCAAGTATAATCAATAAGACATAACTAGGTATCATAAAGCTAAGAATCTAAATCACTGACCTATAAGGCTGAAATTGAATTTGCATTCTAATCTGTTATTTCAATCAATGTTCACATTGTAACAGTATAATCAGTATTCTTAGTATAAAATTCAACAGAAACACCACATAAAAAATAGTTACCTGAATTTGAATCTGGAAAAGACAAATAGCAAATATTGGTTTTCTGAAAAAGAAAACAAAAGTTATATATGTTGACATACACATTAATAAAAACAATCAAATACAACAGTAGACTACAGAACAATATTTTTACTTACTTCTTTATCAGTAAGTTTAGAATGTTGAGGATAAATTACCTAGAAGAAAAAGAGTTAAATTTTGTTAAACAAATATATTGAGTATATATTATAAACATTAGTAGGTACTTCTAAAATACTAGTTGGTCAAACAGTTTCAAGAAATAGTTCACAAACTTTAACAATGAACACAAGAAGCTGGGAGAATTGAGTAGGATTTACATTAGGCAAAAAAATCTTTTTGATTCAAAGTTATTTCTGAAAGATTGGTGAAATCTTTTTTTTTTTTTTTATCCTCATCTGAGAACATTTTTCCATTTTTGTTCAGATAGAGTGGAAGAGAGAGAGAAAGAAACATCTACATGAAAGGGACACATCAAGTGGCTGCCACCTGCACGACCAACCAGGGCCAGGGACAAACTGCAACCGAGGTACGCGTGCTTAGCGGGAACCGAACCCGGATCTCTCTGGACCCGCAGGCCAACGCTCTAACCGCTGAGCCAAACCGGCCAGGGCTGAAATCTTGAATTATCAAGAATAATTTACCAAATGAATTACCAATAACTCAAAGTTTATTGAATCTTTTCTTTGGAAGCCTAAAATCTAAAGAGAAATTGATCTATCAACTGGTATCTACTTAAGCATAACAATTTTTAATTAATTCCAACAAGTAGCATAAATTACTAATTTCTTATTAAAAGAAAAATGAAAAGGAAAAAATAATTATCTGCAGTTTAAGAAATTTCAAAGGCCATCTCCCACCATAAAACCAATTCCCTTGTTTCTTTAAATAGTCACTGCATTTTCCTAGACAGGTCAGCTTAGTGTCTGCAGTAATCACAGCCACCTTTTGAGGGAAACTCCTACCCCACAGCCCCAGCAAAGGAAGGAAGACTAGTTCAAAACAGCTACTGTGGGAACAAGCACTATAAACACCAAATTCAAGGGCACCCACTCTACAAGCCAATCAACTGCCTATATGTGGCTAGTGTGAAAATACTGCCCAAGAGTATCAGTGCTTAAGTGGATCAATCCAGATGCTTTTGGGAATGTGAAGAAGAGATAGGATTAAGAGCAGCAGATTAGCTAGAGGCTGATAATTAAAAAAGAAGTGAAAACAACATAAAGAATAGCTAAATTATGTTAATGTTGGGTTGCTAATGTGGGGATCCATGACTTTTCACTTCTGGAAAAATCCATGAGATCTTCCAGTCTCCAGAGCTGCTGAGAGCCTGAAAATCTTCCCTTTCCAGAAATAACATATAGTAGTATCGTATTATAAACCATATTAAAGTGGTTTCACATATTTATCTCATTTATTTAGTTCTCATAACAATAGACAAGGCTAGTAGTGGTATCCCCATTTTACCTGTAAGAAAACTAAGGTAAGAAAAAGATGGGGAGAATTAATACTTAATGAGCATTCTCTGGAGTTTTTTAATTTTCACATTCTCCCCATTTTACTGAACAGGGAATAAGTTCACAGTAGTTAAGTAACTCTCCCAAGACTTACTTGTCTAGTAAGTGCCAGAGCTAGGACTTGAATTTAGGTCTGATTCCAAAGTATACAAGCCACCATTCCTCGCTGCACCTATAATAGGATCATTAACATGCAATTGCAGCCCTCGATCCAGGTCTATGGGGAGGGTCTACAGACAGCTAGTATGTTACATGAAATCTACCACCATTCCTGAAATACAGAATGACACAAAAGTATATTCTCTCTACTTACCCTGCTTTGTATCCCATGTTCTGACCAACCTCACTTAACCTCTGTTTCCACAATTCATGAAGACAAGAACTTGGTCTCTCTTGTTCACCACTCTATTTTGACACCCAGAACAGTCTCTGGTATACAGTAGACACTAAAAAAATATTTCTTCAATCAGTGGATATAGCCTCAAATTAAGTCCATTCAACAACTCAGTATTTAATATGTAATTCTTCTTTATGTGTAGATACATCTCCCTCGAGACCATTTTACCTTGTTCCCTTAAAACAGAAATGGCAAACTTCTAACCTATTTAGCCATAGTTTATGGAAATCTCATTGCATCTAAGTTACCCTGGAGTTTGCTGTCTAAAACATACTGGTAAGTTTAGTGGCCTGTAATAGCTTAAACTTAGGCTCTAAAATCAGATTTATATAAGTGCCCTTCAGATTTTTATTTCCTGCGATTATAATATCTACTCAAAAGCAAATACACAAAGTTTCTTTTAAAGTTTCTTTTTTTTTCTTTTATATATTCACAGTGGTTCCTTTCAACTTTGGTTTCCTATTGTTTAAAATACCAGCATGACAATATAGAAAACATGTCAGTATGTTTTACCTATATAAGAGTACCTTAAATACACATAGCATATGTATATATATGTGTGTATATTTAAGAAGTTTATATATGCTATCTATATTAAGTCAGAAGGATATGAGAACTACATAACCTATCAAGTCTGCCTTTTAAAAACTGGTTGTACTAGACTGTCAAACAGAATTCTAAAATTTCATTTTAATGTACTTTATTAGGTCTACCCAGTATTTTATTTTGGAATAGATATAATATTCAAAAAGTGAAAGTACAGCCCTGGCCGGTTTGGCTCAGTGGTTAGAGCATCGGCCTGTGGTCCGGAGAGGCCCGGGTTCGGTTTCCGCTAAGGGCATGTACCTCGGTTGCAGTTTGTCCCCGGCCCTGGTTGGTCGTGCGGGTGACAGCCACTCAATGTGTCCCTTTCATGTCGATGTTTCTCTCTCTCTCTCTTTCTCTCCCTCCCACTCTATCTGTACAAAAAATGGAAAAGTGTCCTCGGGTGAGGATAAAAAAAAAAAAACCAAAAAAAAAGTGAAAGTACATTATTATATGCTATAGCTACCCAAATGTCCACTCTGTACTGAAGAACAGAAAAGTTCATACTTAATTTTAAAACCTCAATTATATTCCCTATCTAAAAAAACAAAAGTATCCATTGCCAAGTATTTTGAACTGTACAAATTGTCAATTACTAGAATTATTTTCTATGTACACACTTTATCTGTGAAAAAAAAAAAAGTTTAAATATAAGTTTGGACAATCACTGTTAGTTTGCTCAGTTAGCTCCTGATACCTGTATGAAAATTAATCAACTGTGGATTGGCCCCAGTACCTGGAGACATCTCTGGCTTAAAGTTTTCTCTCTCCACAGCTCAAGTCCAGGCATCTCTGTCCCCCAGGCCACTGGCATTCCTGGGAGGCATCAAAGGGGAACAGAGCACAACAACTCATGTCACTCTGGAACTGTTATAACAAATAAGAGAGAGGTAGCCAGGTAATAAGTCAAGGAAAAAAGTAAGCTTTATTTGATATAATTATTAAGACCTAAAAATGATGACATAGCATATATTTTCACATTATATGCTAGGAAAATATATATGCCTCATAAAAATATTTATATATATTGAGAAATAGCATTATAAAATGTTTTAAATGGGGCTATTCTCTTTCAAGGTATGTCTATCTGCCACTTACCCCTGGCTACCTTAACATTTCCACCTCGTTAGGGAATAATCATGGTCCCAGGAAAAGGAAAATGTGGAATAACAGTTAACTTACTGCTAGTATCACTTGGACAGAGGAAAAAATTCATGCCTGTATGCACCCCAGATGTTTATAAATGGGTGCCTGACTACAGCTGTTTGAGTAGCTGTCTCCACTGCACAACCCCACCTAGCATCCCAGGCTTGAAAGAGACTACATTTCCCCAGAAACACCTGCCTTGATCTCCTACATAAACATTAACTCATACCCTGGCCAGTGTGGCTCATTTGGTTTGACTGTTGTCCTCTCTACTGAAAGGTTGCAGGTTCAATTCTTGGTCAGGGCACATACCTAGGTTGCGGGTTCAATTCTGAGTCAAGGCACCTACAGAAGGCAACCAATCAATGTTCTCTCTCTCTCCTCCTACCCCTCTCTCTAAAATCAATAAGCATATCCTTGAGGATTTAAAAATAAAAACATTAACTCAAAAACGTCATCATAACCTTAAAGGAAGGAGGAATTATCACACGGTATTCTTCCCAGTAATGTATAACCTCAGACTAATCATGAGAACATACCAGGAAAAAACAATTTCAGAGACATCATACAAAATATCTGACTAGTACTATTCCAAAATATCAAGGTCATGAAATACAAGGAAAGACTGAGGGACTTCCACAGATTGGAGAGGACTATGGAGACTCTGATACCTATATGCAATGTAGGTGCCTGGATTGAATCCTGAAACAGGAAAAGGACATTAGAAATACTGGTGAAATCCAAATAACCTTTATGTTTAGTAAATAGTACCATACCAATGTTACGTTCTTGGTTTTGATTAATGTACTATGTTTATGTAAAATGTTAATTTTAGAGGAAGCTGAATGAATTATTTTTGTGGTAACTCTATGTAAATCTAAAATTTTCTCAAAATAAGGTTTAAAAAAAGTAACACCTATACTACATATCATATACAAAAAGTAACCCAAAATGAATCAAAGACCTAAGTGTAACAGCTAAAACATAAATTCTTAGAAGAAAACATAGGAATAAATCTTTATGACCATGGATTAGGCAACGGTTTCTTAGATATGATATCAAATACCCAAGTAACCAAAAAATAAAAATAAACTAGACTTCATCAAAATTTAAAACATTTGTGCTTCACTCTGGCCAGTTTGGCTCAGCGGTTAGAGCACTGGCCTGCGGACCGGGGAGTCCCAGGTTTGATTACCTCCAAAGGCACGTACCTCAGTTGCAATTTGTCCCCAGCCCCGGCTGGGGTTGTGCGGGTGACAACCAATCAATGTGTGTCTCTTATGTCGATGTTTTTCTCTCTCTTCCTCCCTCTCTCCTTCCCACTCTATCTGAAGATAAATGCAAAAATATCCTTGGGTGAGAATAAAAAAATAAATAAATAAAATAAAATAAAACGTTTGTGCTTCAAAGAACACTACCCAGAAAGTAAAGATCCCACAGAAAGAGAGAAAATATCTGCACATCATATATCTGATAAGGGTCTAGTATATAGAATATATAAAGAACACATTTC